TGTGTGTGTGTGTGTGTGTGTGTGTGTGTGTGTGTGTGTGTGTGTGTCAAACTTACTTACAATGAATAGTACCATAACTACAACTAATCGCACGGATTTCAATGGGATTAGCTGAAGAGTGAAGTCTTACTCACATTGAATAAGGGAGATGGTAAAAAGCTTTCTAATCTAAGTCTTATAACCATTGTAACATTTTAAGACAAAAAACTTTCAATGGAAAACTACCAACCCAGATGTTATCCCTGTTTTGTGAAAATAAATGCTTAAAGGGGATGCCAAACTAACCAGAGACAACTCATCTTTAATGGTGGATGGGCTCTGATCAGTGTAATGCCACGTGAACTGATGAAAGTCCTGGAGCTGTGGCACATGAGACATTTCTGCCTTGCTTTTAAACTCCAGCATCAAGATGGTGGGAGGCAGAAGAATACTTAGAATGACCTAAAAGAGAAACACAAGTCTGAGGAGGTGCATTCAGCATACATGCTTGTCTTTGATGTGTGTCTGCATTAGATCAGGACAAAACCTAGCTACATGTAAGGAGAATGTATGCTTCAGCATAAGCTTACTCTGCGGGTTTAGATGAGGCACAAGTCAGTGAGTTTACCTTAAACCAGGAGTTCTTCCGCATCTTCAGGCGTCCCATCCACATATCAGTTAGTAACATCTGTGTGCAAGTGTGAGACACAAAGGGCCGCAGCCCCACTGACACGGCCAGTTTCAGGCAAGTTGAGTTGCTCCAATTTTTCAGCTCGGAGGTCAGTAGCTTCATGGCCATCTGCTCGTTCTGTTTGAATGCATTATCCAGCACATCTAGGGCAAGCTGCCCAAATTCACTAGGATAGACAGAGAAAAAAGAAATCACCATTTTACAATACGGAGGAACAACCACAACTGATCATGAGGTCACATCTCTAGTTCAAAAGCTTCTTTCACATGTGGTAAGATATGAAATTGTATTAACTATGACTTCCTCATCTCTTCACACTGTCTCAGCATTGCACCCAGAGGAAAAATAATTCAGGCAGTAAATCTAAATCTCTCCTCCTAACCACAGGTTTTACTCTACGTTCCTGGTCCCTGATCTTTAATTAGCCTCATTGTGTGGTTTCACACACATGCCATATAGTTCAGCCTATTATTTCATTCAGTAATGCACTTGCCAACATGGTACACAGGCACTGTGCTCAACTGCAGAAGCAGCCTCAGACTGAGTCAGATCCTAAGCACCTCTCAATGGGAGTTGAAGATGCTCAGCACCCTTAGTGAATAAACTTTGCTTTGAAAAGAGCCCTATAATTGCACGTAAACAAAGATGATAATTTGTCCTTGAGCTCTGAATCTGTTCCATTATGGCTATGAAACTACAGTACATTACATCAATAAATTTCAAGGTGCAATACCTGATTAGGGAGCAGTTGTTCATTTCCTGATTTCATGATACAAAACCTAAATACTGAATGTTTAACAGGTATTCAAAGAATGAAACTAAAATTTAAAAATTGGAGGACATAGAAAAACTGCTTGGGCTGTTCAACAAAGTAGCTTCTTTGAGTCGCTCAGCTATGATATCAGCACATTTCTCCTTTAGGCCTTAAATAGACTAGGATTTAAGGTAGGATATTAGTAAATGTTAAGTTACACATATATACTAATACATTTGAAAAGCCTTATGTAGACAAGGCACCTGGCCTTAACACATGCTAAACTATTCAAGTTAAAGCCTAAAGGGAAGTCTAGGCTTTAACTTCACCAGTTTAACTTGGTATTAAAGGCAACTGTCCTTGTCTACTTTAGACTTTTCAGACATGTTAGTTAGCTAATATATGCTAACATCACTCCTTTAAATCCTCATGTAGACGAAGTCTTAGTGTATCTCCTTCGTATATTAAAGTGAGCAGATAGCAAAAAGTGCTTCTTGTACATTTCACAGCATATGCAGCCACTGATCTTACAAGTTAGCTGATGGAAAGAAGAATACCTAACTATTCTAAACACTGTAGATTTTTATTAACTGTAGTGAAGGGAGAACTCCTACTTTGAGTACTTCTTCAATTCTTCTGAGGTGTCATCCACCATGTTGCTCTGTTTGGCTTCACGTGCCATTGCTCTGTAGAGTTTGCAAGCCACGACTGCCTTGACCATGGCTTCCTCTCCATGCTGCCAGAAGAACATTGCCATCTTCTGTCTCTTCATTAACACTGCCCAAACCAAGAGGTCATTATAGGGGTAAATAAAGCCAGCTGACTCATGGTCCTCTAAGAAGCTGAGTTCATCTTTTGACTTCTTCCTAGACTTATGAAAAGCAGTTGACTTTTCCTGTAAAATAGCAGACAAAATCTGAGCAAGTTGCTGCATCCTGAATACATGTAATGCATTATCAATTTGGTTGTTCCTCGGTCATTATATAGATGGACATTAGAAGAATGGCTAAGATAACATTCAAAATATGAATATAAGCAGTTGCTTGGATCAACAAAAGCAAAAAATGCACTGAGGAAATTAAATGTGATTTCCACATTCTGAACCTGTGTCCCAGCTTTTAGATCCTGATCCAACCAAATGGGCAGTGCCCTCCACTCCCATTGATTTCATTAAACTAATTTTACTAGTGCACTTGTCTACTTATGTCACACTGATGGAAGAAAATGGACTAGTAAAATCAAACATCAGTGAGAGAGCTGTGACAGCTATCTTGATTTTTAATATATGTGTCACTTTTACAGTAAGTTGTGTATTTATGGTATGTTGTGTTTCGGCCTGAACTGTCTCACATTAAAATTGGGGGGGGGTGGGGGGAGAATCCTGTTGGCTTCAATAAAATTGCTCTGATGAGTAGCTGCTCACCACTGAGGTTCACAAACTGGCCCTCTGGAATTCTAATGAAGTCCCATGGACTCAAAGACTTTAAGGCCAGAAGGGACCATGATCATCTAGTATGGCCTCCTGCACATCGCAGGCCACAGAACCTCACCCACCCCTGTAATAGACCCATACTCTCAGGCTGAGTTACTGAAATCCTCAAATCATGATTTAAAGACTTCCAGTTACAGAGTCTCCACCATCTACTCTAGTTCATACCAGCAAGTGACCCATGCCCCATTCTGCAGAGGAAGGTGAAAAACCTCCCAGTCTCTCTGCCAATCAGACCTGGGGGAAAACTCTAGTTTTATGCTGTTATCTGAGAGAAGAATGTGATTCTTTTGGTTATCTGTACCTGACACAGTTTCAAGAGAAAATATTTTGCCATCTGCTTGCAATTTACAACATCAGCTCTTTTCTCAAGGGAGTTATTATTGCTACTTACATAAAAGTTTCTAAGAGGTTTGGGGCAATGAATTCCTTGCTTTGAATTCCTATGCCTGCATCCAAATAAGAGGGTTTTTCATCTGTGCCTTATATTAGGAGATTTTGGCAATGTTACATTTCAAGGGATGAAAGCCCTTATCAACAAGGGGATGGAGATTAATGAGTTTCATTAAAACAACTGGAGCTTTACTGTAATATTGTAAAATAGCAGTAATTGTACTTCTTGAGCTGTGTGTGATACAACCTTGACGTCTTTGGTGTTTAGGGTGAGTTAAGCATGATAAGCATCCAGCCTGCATCTCACATGTCTAAAATAACTCTCTTGACAAACTGATCTAATTTTTCAGTCTATTGTACCCCTAATATATTCTCAGCATAAGCAAGCAATGACAGTACCTTGTATTTGTAAGGCTGTGCTGTTCTGATGAACTGAGAATGCAAGGTGTTTTCAGCAGATTCAACTCTGCTACCCATCTGATTATTATGACAAAGGGAGTGATGAGAAAGGCTCTGAGCAAAGCTGGAGACCACACTCTAGTTCCAAAGATATCCCACAAAACACAAAGAGAAAAATATAAATTAGGGATGAAATTTGCCTTCATTTATCTTGGTAATTTACCTGCCAGCCTAATAATTACTGTGCAATTTCTGGAATTTATGACATCAAAGAAAAATGGCCTATTTTGAATTTGGTAAGAACTCTTGTTGATAATAACCCTACTCTTGTAAAAAACTGCCGTAAGATATGTAAGAATCTCAAGTTGTCAGAACCTCTTATTTACATTCCTTCTACCAGAAAGCATCTCTATTATCTCTGGGGACTTTATTCAATATTAATTCCAAGGGAAGATGACTACCTACTGAATTGTTAATACCACTTCCTGCAGCTCCTAGTTTTTTGAAGAAAAATTGCTGCAGAAAATTGATGTTTTGTATTCAGAAAGTCAACCGGCACTTCCAATATTTTTGATTAAGTATAGTATATCCCAATTCAGAAACTTAATTGGGTTGCTATCTCTTCATTTTTTCCATTAATTCTATAATTGTGTTGTATAATTTTCCTCTGATTTCCTCATACCAGTTTGAGCATTTCCATTAATTCTGACAGCAATACATTGTGAGTTTGGCTTATGGAATTACTGTACATAAAGTTCTACTCTGAAAACTCAGTATGGAAAAAAGACACCTTCTTACTCAATAGATTACTTTTTTGTGTAGCCAGAGTTATACCTGATTAATTTACTGAAAAGTTTGGACCGCTTTTCAATTGTCCACAGGAAAATGAGAGTGAGATGGATTCTATATTTTTCTCTTGCATCATTAATGAAAGTTATGGGTCTGTATAGGCAACTCTAATGACCTAATCCAAACCCACTGAAATCAGTGGAAAGAATCCTACTGACTTAATTGCGCTTTGGATCAGCTCCCTAGTAACATACTGGGAAGATAATGTCATCTCACAGGTGTAAATGAGGGGACATCATGGCCTGCAAATCCTTTCTTACAGGTAATGATGAATGAGAAAATAAAAACCCAACTTGGCTTTCAGAGGCCAGGATCAGTTTGCTGAACAAGCAGTTAACTTAAAGAAACACCTTTTTACTTGTGAACTTATCAAGATTGATAGGGAAATTATTGAAAGACATTAAATGCCATTTTACCATTAATGTCATTTTAACGGTAATTTTTCAGAGCAAAACCACACTTGAAGTGAAAAGTATTATGATTATTATTACCTAGACATTTCTGACTATTATATTTTGGCTGTTTCCAATGACACAAATAGCCATTTCATTGATGTTACCTTGCGTTTTCTGTAAAGGCTGTTGTACAGAACTCTGAAATGTTTCCTTGTGTAGCTGCTCCGATAAGCTCCACCAATCAGATACTCTATCACCAGCCCGATATCAATCAATGATATCTTATAGTCCAAAGGAAGGGCACTCTGTAAGACAAACATTTACAACATTTTATAATGCCATTTTATACAGCAACCCACTCACCCAGTGTGAGGTCCATGGGTCCTGAACCCAGCTTCTGGGCCGCTGCTGCATTCACAACACCACCTAATGGCTCTACTTGTGACTGAAGAATCGGGACCCCTAAGGCTTACTCTCAACTAAAGGTACCACCCATAGTGAGCTGATTGGAGGAGCTCCATAGTCCCTGACTGGGCCAGGTATACTATTTAATCCAGAAAGAGACATACAAAGTTGTTTGTGTACAAGGTGAATTCTGGCTTGTAGTTGCTACAGAGCCTGCCATCCACTACCTGACTCCTGGCCTTGTCCTAGTTCATGACTTCAACCATGTCCTGTTCCCAACTCCTGTCTTCAGCCTCATTCCAGTCCCTGAACCCTATTGCCCTGGTTTCTGACTGCTCCAGCTCCAACCCTAGGCTATGGATCTTTGGCTTCCAACTCAGTGCTGGCCCTTGGCTTCAACTCCTGTTTTCTGTCTGACCCCAGCCCCAACTTTCGGTTCTGATACATGGCAGCTGACTCCAGACCTGTCCATTGGCCTTGACTTCCTGAACAACTTGCTGACCTCCAGGCCACACTGCCCAAGTCTTGGTCACTGGTACCGATCTTCTACAGGCCCTGACACCCGGCTAGCATGAATTGAGTTGTGAAATCTTAGCATAAAACTCTTAAGTCTGATAGAGAGCACATAGATTCAGGCATATGACGCTGCTATAAAAGTAAGACAATTAAATACCTGTCAACATGTTATGTGCCAAAATTGGTAAAACAATGTCTACCATCCATTGCACTCTAAAATTTATAACAATGTATATTACAACAACAGCATTTTGTAACATAGTTCAAACATAGGCAAGACCAAACTGCATTGTAACAATCAGGAGAGGAACATGTTAAAACATAATCCCCAACACAGTCAAATAGATAGGCCCTCAGATAAGTAGGACCCAGAAGTGAAAACAGATTTGAAGTGAGCCACTCACTGGGCCAATCAAAATTAACTGCTTAAGAGAGGTCATCTTTGAAGCCTGGTCTACACTTAAAATTTGATTAGCCTAAGGTCTAGGTTGAGCACCATACTTAAGACAATCTAATCCCAGTGTAGATGTGGGTAGGTCAGCAGAAGAATTTGTTTTATTCTACGATGCGTATACTTGGCAGACACGGTGAAATTAATCCAGTCTTAGATCTGGCCATCTCTCGCACTTGACATCAGATGCAAAAAGAACAGCCTCACCGCTTCCTATATTAGCAATGTCACAAGATACAAGAGATAACAAAAGTTTGAAACAGACTAACTGTTGCTAATTCCTCTCCACGCAGTAATTATTCACTGCCACCTTCTGATCTCCTAGAGTGTACAGTTTACAAAAAGAGTGTTGCACCCATCAGAATATTTTGCTGTCACTGTTGAGCAAGGCAATTCTTTTGACTGAAAAAAAATGGTTAAAACAATGAACTGTGGCAGGGTTACTGCAATGGTTCCCCAAATCCTTGATGTATTTAATAATGAGAGTTTGAACAGTTGTGAGTGCAAGCCATTACATTAAGGTATAGAACCCTGGAGAGCATTCCATAGCTTTGGGGAATTAATGGGCTAAAGACAATTCATTCAGTAGATATAAAAATAAAAATGAAACCATCATTTCCAATTCTAAACCTTCTACAATACTATCTGATAGCAATTTGTGTCACTAGATCCTGGTATATTAAGTTATACTCTTTGATTCCCAGGCTTTCAGATTTAGATTACCTGTTTTACATCTCGAACAAGATGATGCAAAAGTAGATTTGTTGGTCCTTGTTTCTGTGATGTTAATCAAAAGAAAAAGAAATTAAACAAATGTGCCTGTTTATGCTTTAATTTCAAAATCTGTGAAAGAGAGATGTTTAGAGATCCACAGGATAATCAGTAGTTATTCAAGCTTCCTGCAGTTCTACAAATGGCCTTCAATCCAAATCTGCAACCAGCACACTATCATCACAGTCCTGGGCCTCTCCTAAAATGAGACTAATTGTCTCTTTTGCTAAACTGTATGACAATTTTTAATATGCGGAATGTACACCAGCCCAGGTTAAAATCTAAATTCATTTTTCATGAAATTCAGTTTGAAACAAGCTGTCAAGAAGTGAAAGACTGGTACATAGAACCAAGTATCCCCTGCCTCAAAATCTTAACATCATAATTACAGCTGATCAAAATTTTTCATTTAAAACTTTCTGAGGAACAATGGCCTTTCTTCAACAATGAAAAATGTAATTTGTTTTCAATTTCTTGATTTTTTTGTTAATATTTTTACATTCAGATTTTTTCAGTTCAGATTTTAGTGGTGGGGGGGGGGATCTTTCTCCCCCCACTCCTTTTTTTCTAAAAAATTGGAACCAAAACTTTTTCAGACATGTTCACCATTTTTGATCAGCTCAAGCAATAGTACCATTGTAACATTGAAAATGTGTTGTATTTTGTTTTCCTTCGTTAAAATGTGTTGGGTACCTTTTATTCACACATGAATGAAAGCAAGTTACAATAGATTTTACCACTCAGGCACGGTGTGGAAAGGGCTTTAGAGTACCCATCCCTTCCCATTCCTGAGTAGAATCTCTGCGCATTCTATTTTTTGCCCTGAACGGAGGGTGCGGACTTTACAGGCATAGAGCTGCATTAACCTATAGAGAACTGAAGCAGGAGCAGGGTCCTCAAAGCAATGTTCTCACTCAAGGCATGCATTGTGTGGCTGGAGGTCTTTCACTTCCCCTCTTTCATTCCCATGAGTCCAAGATGGAGAAATGGGCTTTGCCCTTAGGCAGAGAGTAGAGTTTGGTCATTGCAAAAAGGGCTTTGAAATTACACTTCAAGGGTAATGCTTATCTTAGGGGACAGCTAAAGATCAATCCTTTGGGCTATATTGTAATTCACTTACTCATCTTAAGTAGTACCTTACTCCAAGAGTACGCTCATTGATTTCAATGGGAGTACTCCAGGAGTAACATACTATTCAGTGTAAATAAGGGTGTCACAATATGGCCCATAGATTGCAATATCATTCAGTAAAAGCCACAGCTTCCCAGATTTGTGACCAATTTTATTAGAGTTGACAGAAGTATAACAGGCTGCCCTGCAGAAACTAGTGCAGTAAATGAACATTTTCAAAATAGAAAACTGAGGGCTATATTTTTAGGATTTCAAATACAAATGAAAATTTAATTCAAGTGGGCCAGCTTCTTGCCAGAGGCCTTCCATTTGGGAAAAAAAAAATACTCTCCCTATGGTAGGTGCAAAAAATAGTCTTGGCCTAGAAAACTCTAAATCAGTTGTTATTATTTAGATGAGACACTACTTTAAACATTTTTATTGGCCCCATCTTGCAAGATGACAGTGCTGCAGGAAAGGTGACATGCATCAGTGATATTTACATTCTTGCACCTTCGGTAGCCACTTACAACTTACGGTCTGACTTGGCAGCTTTATATACCCACTTTGCCTGGATGTAACTGGCGATGCAAAGTGCAGGGCAGGGGAGAGCCAGGTCCTATGAGCTACATTTTCAAAAAGGTTACGCTTCTGAATTCGGTATCTATGTCTACACTAGCAATTGAACGACAAAAAACTTTTGTCTTTCAGGAGGTGTTAAACCCCCTCTCCCCCGAAAGTCAAAAGCTTTTCCGCAACAAGCGCCAATGTGAACAGAGCATTTTTAGCAGGAGCACTCTCCTGCCGACAACGCAAACGCCACTTGTTCGGGGTGGAAGTTTCTTGTCGGCAGGAGAGCCGACAAACAGCAGCTACACTGTGCAACTTTTAGCAGCACGGCTGTAGCGACACAGCCATGTCGCTAAAAGCTGTGTAGTGTAGACATAGCCTCAGTTAATAAACACAGCCACTTCTTTTGAACAGCTCAGGAACCATGAGCCTGTTTGGTTGTCCTTGTTCAGACATTTACACCAGTGCAACGAGGGTATAAAACACTATGCCCCACAGATTGCAATATAAATGGTAGCATTTACACCCACTTTACACTGGTGTGACTACACAAGATGCAAATCAACAGGGAATCAGGCCTTCCAATTCTGCCATTTTTATCTAGTCTGTCTGTATCCAGGGTCCGGCTCCAGGCACCAGGCACCCAAGCTGGTGCTTGGGGCGGCTCCTGAAGGGGGGCGGCGCGGCGCTCCGGCCCCTGGGGAGAGCGGGGCCACAGCCGGGCTCGCCGCCCTCCCCCGGGTGCTCTGGCCGCCCTCCCCCTCCGCACCCTCCCCCTGGCCGCCGGCCGCTCTGGCCGCCGGGGGGAGAGCCGAGCCCCAGCCGGGGCTCGCCGCCCTCTCGCCACCCTGCCCCCGGCGCTCTGGCCGCCGGGGTGGGGGGAAGAGCCGAGCCCCTGCCGGGGCTCGCCGCCCTGCCCCTGCCGGGGCTCGCCGCCCTGCCCCCGGCGCTATGCCGGCCACCCCCCCCCCCCCGCGGGGGGGGGGGGCGGCCGGAGGCTTTTTTGCCTGGGGCGGCAAAAAAGCCAGAGCCGGCCCTGTCTGTATCCATCCAATACCTAGCTATCTAGCCGGAAGTTACTTTGCAATGGGGTTTTAGGTACTCACTGTATTGTAGAGTTCTTCCAGTCGGGATATAGTAAGGAAACGGTGCAGATTCACTCCATGCTCTATTAACAACTTTACAAAATCCACCCGGTCCATCACTAAAGCATCCAGCATTGCCTGTTCCAGGGAGCCAACCTTCAAAGGGTGAGGGAGAAGGGGAGGAAAAGAAGAAAATGAGAAAAAAAAAATCATTCTGGATTAAATAAAATAAACCCTGAACAAGAGTTAAGGATCTATTTATCTCAATGCTTTATCCTTATGTTTCATGTGTACTGTAGAAAATAAAAATATGTTAGAAGATGCACCTATGTAAAAATCCAGTGGGGAAAATGATTCTGCATAAACCAAACCTTAACAAAGACATCTTCAAATTTGCCTTTACAATCATTGCACTAGACAGTGCATTTCCTATTGGCCTTCTTTTTAAGTCACTTCAGTATTTAATCTGTCATAATGAAAAGACTTTCTGATTTGCCACATAACAAAAAACAAAGGAACTATAGGAGACCAAGGTATTTAAAAGGAAGGCTATATTAAAAAAGAGAAAGAATCTATGATAAGATAAACTTTCTGAAAATTATATTTGAAGATGGTAAAAAACAAACTATGTAACACAGAACAGTATCTACATTAAAACGGAGGACCCAATTCCAAAAGTGCTCCAAGCATAGTACTTTCATTTACCTGAACAGAATTTCCATATGCACAGCAGCTAAGGAATTGGGCCTATGGAGTGCTTTGATTTCAAAAATATCTACTTTGCTTCTACAAAATATGCATGCATGCATACATCCGTACAAATAGGAAACTGTGTGTGCAAAATGCATGTTTTGGTGTGCAAACTGGGAAATAGCCAATACCTATTTTGCACACACAAATACTTCTTCCAATGTGCAGGTTTATATTTTGTGGCTGTAATATATTAACAGATGTCTAGTATGCGTTAAAAAAATTTGTCACATTATGGCTGTGCAAAGTTTATATAACATTATTCAATTACTGTGGTTTCAGAAATTTTTCAGTCTTTGTTGTACAATCTATTTGATGCTGAGCTTACATTTATGCAGAAATGTAGTTACAGCTGATTATAATCATTAGCTTTTGAACTTTTAGGACAACATTTTTAAAAGGAAATAGTCCAGAATCCATGCATAAGTGTGCACTTTCACTTGTACAGACAAATACTATGAAAGTATACCCAAATCACTTGGAAATTGCTGCTTTTATAACTGGCAATTTGAATACCCAGTAATCAGGATAACTGCACAAAAATGTAGACCCTCCCAGTTGTGTATTGACTTTGTGCCCCACTAATTAAAAATGTGTCCTTTAAAGGTCACCAGCAGAGGATTTTTTTTTTAAAATGGGCTTGTGCCTGTCTTTTGCTTCTTTATGGTGTGTAATGAAAATGTTGCAGTTGAAGGTTTTTTTCTGCTTGTTTTTTAACTTTGAAATATCAGGGATGTAGACCAGGCCCGGGAAGGCCATATGTTACACGAGAAAATTAATTACTGAAAAATCCACACCTCTGTGCAGTGTAGTTAAGTTGACTTAACCCCCAGTATAGACAGCACTAGGTCAACAGAAGAATTCTTCCATCAGCCTAGCTACTGTCTCTCAGGGAGGAGGATTGCCTATGCTGATGGGAGTATGCAACAGCAGTACAGCTGTGCCACTGTAGTATTTCGAGTGCTGACAAGCCCTCTGTTTTTACTGGAGAACAAGTGAGAGTATTAAGAGTTATTTATTGTGAACTCTTAAGGCTTTAACTGAAGGGGTGCAGATATTCAATATTTAACAAAGGTTTCCCTCACTCAAAATGTTAATTAATGACTGAACTTAAATAGGTAGGAACAACAACAAACAAAAGCCAAAAAGTTTCCACAATCTCATTTTAAAAATCTCTTCTCTTACCAGCCCAGTTTTCACTTTTTAACTTCATAATTTACACTCATTCACCAATCATTCACACGCTGGCTCTCACTCGGCCCAAATGACTATATAAATATGTTCCAAAGTAGAACAGCTTCAACAGGAGAGACTGAGAGACAGGCTACCCCAGAATATCCTATAACCCAGTAATTAGGGCACTCTCCTGAATGGTGGGAGACCCATATTCAAATCCCTTCTCCCTATCAGTGGGGGGAAGGGGGGCAGGGCTTGAACCAGGCTCTCCCACATCCTGGAGGAATGCTATAACCACTGAAGTTATAAGGGAGGCAGCACCATCATCTACTTCATCAACAATGTTTCTTTCAAAAAATGGCTTAAGCACCTGACTCCAGGAGAGGGTTGGAGTCCAAACAGAGGGTTTGGAGTCCAAACAGAGATAGGCACCTAAGTCCAAGAGAGAGGTGGGGTTTAGGACACACCCATATAATTGGCATCTCTGATTGGTTAGTTTAGGCAGGGAGCCGCCTATCATTCTAACTTTTGTGGATCCCATTCTTAGGCACCTATCTGTCCCCATTCATTGTATAAGGAGCTTGGGGGCCTAATTCAGGCTTTATGTATTGCAGTGAATTTCCAGGCAACTAAAAGTTAGGAATTACAATGCTGAATGTTGCAATACTGAATGCCTAAGTCCCTTTCTGAATCCATGCCTAGCACTTCATATGTTCAAAGCATAGCTCTCATCGACTTCAACGACAGTTGTGAATGCTCAGCACTTCTGCAAAGCAGACTCCAAGGTCTCTAGGCAGGGACCCAGGAAATGAGGAACACACAATAGTCTGGGAGCATAATGTAGTGAAATCTCATTCCATGGACAAATTAGTGATAGAAGGGTAAGAGACATGTCACTTGATACATAAAAATCTACAGAATCAATGTTAATGGTGTCACCCTCCGCAGCATGGCAAGACAGACTTGTGCCCGCCCACCCCAGCTTCAAGTCCCCCAATTGGTGAAAATTTTAATAATACAGTTTCATTGGAAATGGGTCAATTTGGGTATCATTCAAAAGCCCTTTTTCCACAGCACAAATCTACATGACAAACCTAGAACAATTATGTAGATAATATATTCGAGAAAATATATAATAATCGTGTTTTTAAAATTATACTTTAATGCAGGGATGCATTGTTTACATAAAAAAGACATTGATCTTTGGTAATCCTAGGGAAGTTAACTTTGACACATAGCACTGATAACATTTATTTATCATAGTCATCATCAGTGTTGTCTTCATCTAGGGCACCATAGCCAGATACATTGTCCCACTGATTCTCATCCACACTGCACTCTCACATCTCCATACAAGGCAGGCTGCTGGCCAAACATCTGCAGGGTGAGGAGAATATGATCTTTGCACATGAGCATTGCATTAGCTGAAGCGTTGATTTTGGAGTGCATGGTATTTCACACATCACTGGGGTGAGCAGTCCATCCTGCAAGACCCATCCATGTCTGATAAGGGAGGGGAGTTTTGGATGCACTCGGTCATTCTGGAACCATTTCATTGCTTAATAATTTGCAGATATAAATGCACCCCATATCTGAGGCAATTTTTCTCCATTTGTCTGTTTCTTGGAAAACATCCACTAATTTAGCTCTACAAGTGTCATAATGTTGACCTTCAAATGGTAAGCTCAGCATATGAATGCTTCCAGTGCATTTGTGACCTCTTCAGTGACTGTCTCAGCCATACCGAGCACTTTCATAGAGAGGAGAGTCTCTGGAGGCTGAATCAAATACCTTCCTGTAAGATAATTTGGTCTTTCCAGCCAACCTTCCAGTAGTGTCATACCCTGAAAGAGCATGGAAACCTGGCAATGTGCCAGCTTTTATGCTCCAAATGATAGGAACACATTTCTGAGGGATATACAGCGATTCTGTTCACCACCAGCAGGCACAAAAACAGAATCTTGGGTAGAGTCTTATAGAGATCACTACAACATCTGTGTCTTGCACAAAAATCAGGAGTTCAGTAGCATCTCTCTCTGTGCATGCAAGACAATTTAAGTGTCAGGATCCTCATAGCAACTAGGAAGAAACTCCTCTGCACAGTGTGAGTCAGCAGCTTCATTATGCCATGCAATGACAAAATTCTTCAAGCAATTATTTGCATGCCGGAGCATTTTTCCTACAGGGCATGCAGTTAACTTGTACTTCATGTAAATATGAGATAGTAGCTTCTTCATTGTGACATTGGAGATATTCATAGAGTCAATGATTTTGTATTGGACAGGTGCAATACCAGGAAGTCTCTTCTTTCTGGTGATATTTTAATTGATTCCTCTGCATAAGTGTCAAACACGAGGTGGACATCATCATAGGTCTAATATTTTCTCTGTGACCTCATAATGAAGTGTTCAGCTGAATCTCAGCAGGTGTTAGCAGTTTCTGGTTTGTCAAGAGCTTGTACGTCATCCATACCTTTTATGATTGCTATGCTGAAAGGCCTCTGCTGGAATAAGGTGCTGGTCTGGTCATGTTGTCAGTAGGTTCTGGCTTAGGAAGATGTGGCAAGATGTGCACAAGTTTGTTTTTCGCCTGGCACCTACGCATTGTGCTGTCACATTCGAACATCAATTGTGGTACCACAGAGAACTCATACTTTCCCAAAGCCTCATGAAGATCAACATCACGCTAAAATCTGGACATGAGAAGACCAAACAATGACCTATGTGCAGTTACCTCTGTATTAGTCCCAGCCACCTTCACTCTGACTTTTTACTTTGCATTCAAGCACCGCTTTAGTTTGTCCTTCTTGATTGGAACCCACAGATTGATGGAGTCTTGGATAATTCTTTGGATTTTGATGGCTTCATGCAAGTCATGACCCAAAGTATCCATTGCACTGACATTTTAGCTATCTTATCACTGAAGACTGCTTTTTTCATATTAATGAGCTCTGGTCTATCATACGCAAATAGGTTGCCAGTGTGAGTAAGTTTGTCCAGTAGCTTTAAAATTGCCCCTTCTTGGCATTTAACAGCACCTAATGACTCTATATGGTGCTTGGTCACTTCTGAGGAAGTCATCCCAGCTACACTTAATATTGCATTCAAAACTAGGTGGAGTTCTGAACTTGTCAGGAAGAGCATTTGGATGTTGTGTTTTGCCCACCTACCCCAATGATTTTAATTAATCTGTTTTCATGTTCCTGGGCTTCGTCTGAACCAAGTGCGCAGAAGGGAACAGGCAATCTTTTAACAACCGCTTTTCCTTTTTGAAACTCCTCCCATCTTCAACTTTTTCCTGTTGCTCAATGTACTTCCTCTCCACCATTGCCAAATGCAATTTATGAGTGCACTTCTTACAGCTTATAAGGTGCCACTGAGTGTTGTGTTTAACCAGGTCCTCCACAGTAGTAGCTGAATTTTTGGATACTACTAGTCAGTAATATTTGTTTCCCCATCGATGCCTAAAAATGATCATGACCAAAAGAAAAACAAGGGTTTTGTAATAAAATTACTTTGGGAGTGTAATTAAGTATGTTATGTAACTATGTGCATACCATTTGCAGATGGATTCTAGTAATTTTTGACTGGAACAGTGCCTCATTACAACTCTTTCGGCATAATAAGCAAAGCTGATCATCAATACCACTGAACACCTTCTTTTTCCCCGATGATGGCAAACAAACAATTTGAAGTGTTCCATTTATAGCAATCAGCAATATTAACATGAATCAGATATCATGTTCTGAGCATTAACTGATAACACAGTACTGTCAGTCGAGGGCCACAATTTAACACTGTGAAAGCTACATGTTTGACATACCTGTGTTAAAGTATAATTTTAAAAAATGTTGATTTTTAAACATTTGCTGGACTATATAGCTACATAATTGTTCGAGATGTGCCATGTGTGGAACCATTGTGTTCTCAGGAGAAAGGACTTTCGAATGATACCCAACTTGATCCATTTCCAACAACATTGTATTATCAAAATTTCCACCAACCAGAAGACCTGGAGCTCAGAGGCACAGAGGACGACACAACTGAAATTATGATTTTGTAGATTATTACAGTTCAGATGACACCTCCCTTACCTTTCTGTTATTAATGTACCCACAGAATAACACATGCTCTCAGACTACAATGAGTGACCACCCTGTGAAAAGTTTGGTTTAAGTGACTTAACTAGCATCACATGGGAACCCTTTGGCAGAGGAAAGGATAGAATCTAATTCTTCAAGGCAGCATTCAACTGCCTTAATCATGAGATCATCCTTTCTCTTCCTGCAATCCTCTGCTTCATTCACAACACCCCTTCCAACTGCTGCAACAAATCATAAAATATCAGGGTTGGAAGGGAGCTCAGGAGGTCATCTAGTCCAATCCCCTGCTCAAAGCAGGACCAATCCCCAGACAGATTTTTACCCCAGTTCCCTAAATGGCCCCCTCAAGGATTGAACTCTCAGCCCTGGGTTTAGCAGGCTAATGCTCAAACCACTGAGCTATCCAAATGAAACAGAGGAACAGAGGTCCTATAGACTATAGTCTCCTTCACTAACCAACCCTGATTCATCCCCAGAGCAAGTCTAACCTGTGCACTGAATGAGACAGAGGACCTGTGGAAAATATAGTATGTGATCATGTAATTAAAGACCATATCATAACACATAAGCACAAGGTTGCATAGGCAACTTTAATTCTGGCATTTCCAAACTTTTGAGTGCCTGACTTTGCAACCTTAATGTTCTTTTAAAACAAGTTTATTTGTGTGCAATTTCCAGGTTTTTAAAGAAGCAAATTGAAAAAAAAACCAAAATTCCATCCTGTAGAATCATACGGTGACCCATATGGGTCATCAGCAGACCTCTGCCACTTCTGTACAGAGTAACAGATAGCAATAACAGGTTGTCCTTCTCTGTGGGGACCAGCACACACTTTGCCAGTGGGTTCCACATAAATTTGCTGAAAGCAGAGGAAGTGCTAGACTCAGGAATCTTGGGTTCCATTCCAGTCTCTGGAAAGGAATGTTCTCCAGTCCTCACTAGCCCTTCTGCCTGTTTCCCCATCATGTCCTTATACCAGATATGGCTACAGAGCTTTCTTATAGACACCAGATGTGTTCATCACAAGATCCTTTAATGCTCTGCCAGATATGGCTGAGATTTATTTAAATAAGGTATTTTACTCACTGCACCACCTAGAGGCTGAACGGTATAATACAATTTAACATTCCATTATGCACCCCAAACTTGACCTCTAATACTCCATCCCCTCCAATCTGTCCCTATACCAGACCTGTTTCTTCCCCACACCCGCTTCCTCATCCCAGCCCCATTCTTCTTGCCTATCCAGTCCCAGTGTTGACTCTCCATGACTCCTTGTCCCAGTCTCTTAGCCCAATCAGTCAGTCCCAGTGGTCCCTTGCATCCTGGCTCCTTGCCAGATTTGTCTCCCTACCTCCTTCCCCCCCACACATATATACTGGTTCCCAATCTCCTTATCCTGTCAGACCTAGTCTTCCCCAACTGGCTCTTAGTTCCCTTCCCCATTTCCTTCACCAGGCTCCCAGCCTCACCAAACTCCTTGTCCCATTCTACTCCTTTCCCTCCCCCAGTCCATCTTTTATCCCCTCTTCAAGTCAGGAGATTTCCTCCTCCACGCTGCCTGGGCACCAGCAAGGCCATCATTGAGAGCACAGAAGAGTCATCCTCCCTGCTCTCAGTTCCAGTGTCTAGCCCCACCCAGTTCTGAAGTAGCCAAAAGCAGCAATTTGCATAATGTATAATCCTATGTATTATAGGCAGTTAGGTTTAACCAGGTATCAACGTAAAAGAACCAATTGTAGATACTGCAGACGACAGTCCACTAATCAAAACTATTGGTGTTTTTGTGTGTGCAAGAGTGTTTTTAACATAACTAGGGCCCATAAAATGAGTCAGAGATTGACTGTGATTAAAGGACTTTGCCTTGCTTGATTTGAAAGCATGATAAAGAGCTTGATTAGATAATGATATACTAGCTGGTTTTTTCAAACTAAATAGTAAATAATACAATTTATTGTATCTGTTCTCTCTATTCTGACACATTTTATTAAGTTGCTAATTATTTTTAACCAAAAAAAAAGTCTGCCATAATCAAATGCAGTTTGAAGAAGGAAAGTGGCAAATAGAAAAAGAGCAATTAAACAAAAACATTTAGCTCCTTGGAGTCTGGAACAATGAATTCCCTAACCCCTAAAAGCAATGAGTGAATTCTGGCCCTCTGAAGTCAATGGAATTTTTGCCATTTGCTTCAGCGGGGCTAGGATTTCACCATGTGTTGCAGCCAAAAATGTGTTTCAATTAAATTAAAAGATGCCAACAGAATTAAAAATACTTCAATAAGTAATCCTGATATTGAAACATACAATTATTGCTTCAACAAGATGCAAATAAATGTGTATATCGCTTTTCTTATTTTTAAGTTTGCGGGGGGGGGGGGTTATGTTTGTACTCTATTAACAAATACCATAACAGTTTGAAAATGAAATCTATTTTTTAATTAAACTGCTTATCCTCTTTGGTGTATTATTGAAGGTCACTAATTTATGTTGGGCTATTCTTAAAAAATACGAATATCTAAGCATCTGTTTTGGAAACAAAACAATGTATTGTCATTTTGGTCTGAATGTACCAACCTTGACAATGTCCCTGTAAATGGCATCATTTTCACTTAAGGAGAATCCAAACATCTGATAGAAAGACAGAAAATAGCTAGAGACAGAAGAAACAAGAAGGCAAAAGGAGTAGGAAGAGCAGATATAAACCTATTCCTCCTGCTCCTACTAGAACTGTTTATGTTGAAAGATTTGCATCTGCAACCAGAAAAATGTTAACTGCAAAAAATGAGTCACCTGTGTAAGAAACCGGCATATTTTATTAATACCATCAGACTTGTTTGAAACACTGACACCTACCAGAGTTCTATGTTGGAGATGGGGATGGCCTCTGGTAAGCTTTTAGCATGTGTGCAGGTTCTTTTATTGTTTTTAATATGTTTTCTCTATGATGCTTTTGTCCTAAGAATAAATGCAGTTTGCTTTGAGAAGGCTGGTTGGCAACTGGTGTATGTTCTTATGGCCCCTAGAGAAAGAGTTAAACACAAGTGCCAGACTCTGGTCACACGTGATGGAAAATCACAATAGTGTGCAGAGGGACTGCCAGTCTAAACCCTCAGTCTGAAGGGAGAGAGAGAGAGAGAGAGAGAGAGAGAGAGAGAGACGCTGGTCTCTGCTCCTACAGAAGTGATTGCTGGGAAGCCTAAAACCTTAAGTAGGTGTCCAAGGAAGACCCAGGGGAGGGGGGGGAGAGAGGAGTTAGGAACCTAAACAGAAGTTAAGAACAAAACTTAGTTTGAACATTCCATGTTGAATGCCCCCCTAGGAAAACTTTGCATTTCCAAATACTAAAGATGCTGACACCACCAGACAGGTATATGAACTCAAACTCCCAAGTTACTCATCAGATGCAAAGCAATGGTGAAAACACAAGGAAAATTAAAAAGCTTCGTTGTAAAAAACAAACACATGCTGGAAAATAAAATTGAAAAGTACCTTCCAGTCTTGTCCACAAACCAATATATGTTTCTTGGCAATGTCCAGTCTATTCCATGCCAACGCCAAATTTAGCTGATCTGATGCAGACATATTTGTACCTAGAAAACAAGAAAAGGCTCCATTAACTTTCATACATTAGCTTCTTTTCCTTCCTTTCTTTGAAAGGGCATGTCAATGAATCTGTAGGTCATAGGAAAACAGAAGTATTGTTAGATAAGTACCTTTCAGGAGTGCTGTCAGGATTGCCAAATCAATGTCCTGCTGCTCCTCTGACTCTGCATCAAATATGGTTATCTGTCAGTGTTGCAAAAGCATGTTATTGGGGGAAAGGTGGAAAAGCCCTTCCAGAGAAACATATGGGTGTTCATTCTTGACCTAGTGTGCAGTGAAATAAGTTGCACAGCTCTCAGCAACATTCACAAAGGGATCTATAAATGAATGTATCTCCTTGTACACCACAATGAAAATGTACCATTTAGGAGATGTCTACATCAGAGTAGGTAACCTATGGCACGCGTGCCAAAGGCGGCATATGAGCTGATTTTCAGTGGCACTCACACTGCCCGGGTCCTGGCCACCAGTCTGGGGGGCTCTGCATTTTAATTTAATTTTAAATTAAGCTTCTTAAACATTTTTAAAACCTTATTTACTTTACATACAACATAGTTTAGTTATATATTATAGAGATATAGAAAGAGACCTTCAAAAAACGTTAAAATGTATTACTGGCACACAAAAACTTAAATCAGAGTGAATAAATGAAGACTCGGCACACCACTTCTGAAAGGTTGCTGACCCCTGGTCTACATTGTAATTAAAAATCTGCGGTTGGCCTGTGCCAGCTGACTCAAGCTTGCGGAGCTGTTTAATTATGGTGCAGATGTTTAGGCTAGGGTGACCAGGTGTCCGGTTTTCGACCGGAACACCCGATCAAAAAGGGACTCTAGTGGCTTCGGTCAGCACTGCCGACCAGGCGGTTAAAAGTCCGGTCGGCGATGCTGCATGGCTAAGGCAGGCTAGTCCCCACCTGTCCTGGCACCGCACTGTGCCCCGGAAGCGGCCAGCAGGTCCAGCTCCCAGATGGGGGAAGCCACGGACCTGCTGACCGCTTCCAGGGTGCAATGCTGGAGTCAGGACAGGCAAGGATCCTGTCTTAGCCTCACTGCGCCGCTGACCGGGAGCCACCCGAGATAAGCCCACGCCCCAACCCCAACCCAACCCCCTACTCCAGCCTTGCCCCCCCCAACCCAGATCCCCCTCCTGCACCCGAAAACCCTCATCCCCAGCCTCAACCCAGAGCCCGCACCACCATCCCAGAGCCCTCACCCCCTCCCACATGCCTACCCACAGCCCCCTCTCACATTTCAAATCCCTCAGCCCCAGCCCCCTCCTCCACCCCAAACCGCTCATCCCCAGCCCCACCCCAAAGCCCGGAGCCCCTCCCACAGCCCAACTCCCTGCCCCAACCTGGAACCCCCTCCCGCACCCTGAACCCCTAATTTCTGGCCCCACCCTGGAGCCTGCACCCCCCAGTTGGAGTACTCACCCCCTCCAACACCCCAACCCCCTGTCCGAGCCCAGTGAAAGTGAGTAACGGTAGGGGAGAACGAGCCACTGAGGGAAGGAGAATGTAGTGAGTGGGGGGTGGGGCCTCAGGGATGGGGCGGGGCTAGGATGATCAGAGATACACTCTTCCTATGCAAGTGTTGTGGCACAAGCCATAAAGTAGGAGCTGACCTGGGGAAGGAGAACCACTGTGTGGAACTGGCTGCCTTGGAGAAAGCCACACAGCAGGCTCTGAAAGAGAAAAAGGAGCTAGCTGAGGGGAAACAGTGCTTGGAATTACAAGTAATGATGCTGGAAGTGACATGGAAGATTTTGTCTCCAGATTTCCAGCATGGAGAAAGCGTGCTGGGAAAAAGACCAATTGATCTTGGAAGTTAGCCAGCTAAGAAAAGTGCGAGAGGGATGGCAGCCAGGAAAACAGCCTGTCCAAGCTTGACGTATGGCTGTAAATGGTAGAACTTGCCCTGCAGCCAAGCAAAGCTTTAAGGAGGGAAGGAGATGTGTAGCAGGGTGGCCTGCCCCTTTAAGGGCCAGGAGACCTGGGGCTTGCTAGCCAACTCTGTTCAATCAGCCTGCCTGTACCAGAATTAGCTGTTTCCCAGCCTAAGGGCACTGGACTAATTGTGCTGAAACACCTGGGTCTCATAAAAGGGATGGGAAAAATCAATTTGGGAGACGAAACACTTATGAAACTTCCATTAACACCAATCAGACTGTACAGAGGTAACTGAGGACAAACTTTGGCCTCCTATATTTATATCAGAGATAATATTATTACAATAGCCTCTGTGCCCAGGCCAATATATTTCATAATCAACAAAAAGATCATAGTTTTATAGCTAATGAAAGAGATCATAATACAAATCAACAACCCATCATACTCACAGAATCTCTGTGCTCCATACACTCCATCAGCATTTGAAATAGATGAATAGACTGTTTCTGCCCAAAATTAAAGGTGTTCTGAATCATTACTGAGATCTCCTCCTTCAGCTGAGGGGGCAAATCTCTGAGGAACAGATAAGTACACAGACAAGAATAAATTGTACCGTAGGATGCCTCATCTCACTGATCTCTTTCTCAGATGTTACTCTGACAGAAGAAACTTGTGAGAATACAGTAGGCTAGTGGATACAGCAATGCATACTTTGTCTTCAGTACGATATTGCCTTCACCTTCCACAGCATCACTCATGCATAACAAAGGCAGGGCATAGACCGATATACAATATTTGTTTAATACTGTATTTAAATGTTATGAACCAATGTAAACACAATCAATGGCAAAGCTAATTAGTTTGAAAAGTATTATGAATACTAATGGTAAAAAATTAAAACAATTTCATGAAAAACAGATTTTAAACTTGCTTTTGCAATTTTTTCTACCTTTTAAATTATGTTCACAAAATTTAATTAAAATTGCTTGGTATCGTACTTTCCATTTATTGTTTTCTGGGTTTTTTTCTTGTTATCTTTTTTCTCATTTCTCCTTTAATTAAAAAAAACTTAATGGAAAATAAATTTCTTTTTAATGACAAGAAAAATAATGGAAAAAAAAAAGGAAGAGAAGGGGAAAAGAAAACAAAAAGAACAAGCAAAAAAGATATAAAAGTAAGTTACCAAAAATTATACTCTAAAAAGCTAACAAACAACATCAAAGAGAGGTATAGAACAAAATATATATTACAAATATTTAAATAATGACAACATTGTGAATAAGTCCATGAAAATTTTCAAAAATAGACAATTTTTCATTAACATTTTTGATTTATAAAAAAGCCCATTTTCTCATGAAAAAAATTTTTTTTTTTAAATATCCACCTTTGTTTAGATTTGAGGTGCATTTCTGGCCCTTAGCTAAGGTTGGGCATAGATGTGGGCTTTAATTGGAGGCTCCTGGCAAGTTGGGGCAACATACTAGGTTTAATATTGGGGCCAAAAGGGGACCCCAAACTAGATTCAGAATTGAGGACAGATTGCAGATGAGGGACAGGGATACAATATGGCCAGATGGCAGCCCCAGGAAGATGTGGGCCCCAGGTTGTTAGTACTGAAAACTGTAGAGAGGGGACAGGATTATGCTTGGAAACTCAGACCTAGGGTTCAGTTTTGATCTGGATGGGGGCCGCAAATTAGGTTTAGGGATGAGGTCAGATGGGAGCCTCAACGCAGGAAAATGACTGGGACAGGGTGAAGTCCCCATGGTAGGGTAAGTATGGGACCAGATAGGGCCCTGGGCTAGGGAAAATCAGCTGGTGATGCAGGGCTGGGGTTAGAGTTGGTGCTGGTTATTAGCCTTGGGCAAAGATTGGGACCGATTGTTGGCCCTGGGGGTGGGTTAGGGATAGGGCCAATGGTGATCCTGGGCTAGGTTTGGACTTGGAGTCAAGTGCTAGCCACTGCCAAGTGTTATGGTTGGGACTGGCTGGGCGTCCAGCACCCACAATCAGTGTCAAGGTCAGTACTGGACACTGTATTCTATAGAGTAAGTTTCTGTTAAGGATCAAGCTGGTCTATGGCCCTGGCTTACAGTTGGGGCTGGGGTCAGTTGGTGGCCATGGCTGAAGGTCACAACAGGGTTAAGGCCAGGGCTGGTCAGTGGCTGCAGATTAGGGTCAGAGCAGGACCTATGGGGCTCACCAGGGATAAGGTCAGGTTTGGGGCCTGCAGGTGTCCATAGGGTTATGGCTTGAATGGAGCCCACAGGTCTATGGGGATAAGATTGGGGCTGAAGCCTGCAGGCATCCCTGGGATGTCGGCGTTGAAATGAGTTGATGACTTCAGGATAGAGTGACACCTAGGATCACAAACTCTAACTATATAGACTGGACAGAACTATGGGCACAAGAATTAATACTGGCCCACAGATGCCTAGGCATCCCAATACTAACCCTAGCCCACAGACCTCTATGGTCTCCAACTCTATCTCTCACTGAGAGGCCTACAAGCCCCAACCCTAACCTTGGAAAACCTCTGGCCTCCAACCCTAGCCCTAGACCATTGAAGTCAGAGGTCTCCAACCTAAACCTGGGCCAGGGAAGAGTATGGGCCCAAACCCTATCCATAGCACATGGAGACCTATACATTCAAACAGTAACTCCAGAATAAGGAGACCTTCAACTCTAACCCTGGCCCAGCAAGGGCTACACATAGGAATGTGAAGAACCCCAGTAGGAGCAGATGTGAGGCTGGGGGAGCTGAACTGACATGGGGTGAACTGAGAGGCTAGGGGATGGGGAATGAACTTATGGGCTGACCTAATGGGGGTGGGGATTGTGGGGGGACAGAATTAATTGCTGGACATAGGACAAGCAGATATGTGAATGAGAGCTCTTTCAGTAGCAGCCAAAAATCACTTTGCCCAATATATTTAGGATGGTGGGCAACGCTAAATGTCTCACACTATAAATAAAACACACACTGATGATGTGCAAGGGGATTCCAAAAATTAAAAAATGGGTCACCAAAAAATTACATTTTATATATTAACCATTTAACAATCATCCATTATTTTTGTGCAAATCTTGTTATTTTTAATCACAAGGGAAATTCCATACGAAAGGGTAAGTCTAGGGAAAGGTCACAGGGGCTGGAGGGGTTGTCATCGGGGTGGTATCAGAAATCTGGAGTTCCTGGCAAAGACTACTTCACTACATTGCTCACAATCGTCTTTGATTTGGAGATAGGCATTTTCACTACCACCACACAATAATTAAAAAAAAAAAAGTGGTGCAGCCTGCAGCTACTCACCCTGTATCTGCAGTATGTTTATGAATAAAAGCCAGAAGATCTGCAGCTCGGCCAGTGCCCTCGCAGACCACCACAGGGACAGCAGGAGTATCCCTCACATATTCCCAAACCATTAGGATCACGTTTGGGCCTCCTTCTACCACTAGCCCAACCACCGGTACACCTTGGCCCATTCCTGTTTCAAACCACACACAACCAGTTACTAAGAGCAAAGTTATCACTCCCACAGCACACATCATAAACATAGGTCTGTCAACTTGTACCTACAAAAATATCTCTTAGAAACCATGAGAGATACGTCTTAATTGATAAAAACAAAACAATGCCTTTATTTCTCCCACCTTGCGTCAGGCAATTCAAGGCTGTCTCAAATGAACTCTGTCATTAAAACAAAAGATTATTGAGAAACTGTGGACAAGATTATAAGCAGGCCTGGGCATGGACTCATGAGGAAGGAAATGGGGCACAAGCAGCCTTCCCTTCTCTTGCATGGCCTGCAATAGCAGTTCCTGTGAGTTCTGCTTGCAAAATCTGTGCATGCATAGAAAAAGTGACTGTGCATATAAATATTTGCACACATTCAGGAGCAACTGGGTGCTTTTTAAAAAAAATTGTCTATATGCTATGTATTCTAGGGAGAGGTGATTTTAATAATTTGAAATAGCTGGTAGTTGGGTAATATTACAGTAAACAAAAATGGACATAGCAAATGAAAACCTAATATACAATAGTTACGAATTTTCTTTTTTTATATCTAAAACTGAAGGGGAAACAAAAAACATGAATGGATACGTTTCTGTGCTTATAAGAGGTGAGTAGGTAAAAGGAACCAAGGACTTAAATATTACAATTGACCTAATGGTGTTTCTTTCTAACATACCTTGTGATTTCATCATTAGACCAGTATCAAGCTTTCCATAAATCACTGATGATGGTCTTATTACATGAAAATAAGTACTTTACACAGGCTATAAATACATATTTTATGGTTTCTTTAACTCAGACATAAATGAGGTATTACACATGCAAACAATTCCACAATGAAAATGAAAGTTGTGAAACTTGCCTTTTGCTTATTTCACAGACACAGAAGATTGATTGGACATTTTGACAATTCCTCTTTTGCAACCAGTTATTGCACAACAGCAAAAGTGGCAGTTGTGCAATACAAAAGAATTGCACAGTGAGACTGCAAAACATGAACACATTTCTTTGAATTTCACTGTATCTGACATTTTTTCTCTTTGTAAAAGTCTGGCAAATATTTGCGAAAGTTACCAGTGCTGTCATAAAGAGTGAAACAGAAGCCATGCTCTACTCTGGCATTCTAAAACTCCAGATCAACATTTTCAATTTTTGGGTGCCCAATTTGACAGACTTTAAATGGGTCTGATTTTCAGTGTGTGATATCGGACTCATCATAGATGTCCCAAACTGGGAATTCAAAAATGGAGGCACCCAAAGTCATTAGTGATTTTTGAAAAAAAAATTGTTCCTTTCCTTTTTTTCCCCTGAGTATTTATGGCTTGATCCTTCAAGATGCTGAGCCATCCTCACCCCCACTGAAATCCATGGAAGTTGAAGACACCCAGCATATCACAGGAAGTCCTCAGCATCTTAATAACCTTTCAACCTGTGATAAATTAGACATCACAATACTCACTGGTGTGTATTTTCTGAAGGTTTAAGTATTTCTCGAGATTCCTTCTGAGCTTCATCTCATTGCCATATTTGCCCACTGTCCCATCATCTGCCAGGATGAAATGGGAGTGCATGCTATTGAGGGTGCTCAGCTTGCTAAGAGGATTGCTGAGAGTCTGATATAGGCAAACTACCTGAAAAAAATCAAAAGGAGGCTGAAGTAATGTCACTTGGCATGTGACCTGACTTTTATATACTTCATTGTTACTTGGTAAACTTCTAAAAGTTCCTACCACACCTAGGGGAAAATTCTCCACATCATTCTATGGGAGACTAAAACTGGTCTATCCTCTCACCACTCATGGAACTCCAGTGGAAAGTACACTGGAATCAAGATCTGGAAGATAATGTACACAATTATTTTTTCTGTGTACTGCTGCTTGGCCTCACTGTGGACCAGATTGTGGTACGCTTACTCACACTGAAGAGTACCTTGCTCCATGTCAAGTCCCGGTTGAAGTCAATTTGAGGATTAAGAAACTACCAAATGTGAGTAAAAATATTAGCATCTGGCCCTATATTGTGAAAGACAACTCTGCCACCTCAGTATTGCTTTAGAGAATACATACATGATCACAGATTATTTATTCATTCATTCATGACCGTTTTTACATTCTGAATTCTAGATGAATGGAAATCTTTTAAAAAATAGTAAATCTTCACGTCTGTGCAATATATAGTGAATGGAAGATATTATTATGGAGTCACCCCCTAGTTAAAGGGGTCAGAAATTTCAGCTTATTTTGTAAAAATCTTAATAAAATGGTAAACACAAAACTTACAAATGTAAACTTTGAACACTATTTAAATTTTCCATGGTGTTTTGATGAAAATTGGCTTCCTTCAGAAAAAATAATAGTTCCAAAGTAGTTCCTTTCTTAAAGTATTTTACAGGATTATCTAACTTTTTGGGGATCCCTTTGCAAAAAAACCTATAGCACTCTGTGCTTTGCACCACATATTGTTCTTCATCTGCTGATTAATAAAATATCAGTTATGAACCCCATCCTAGAAGGCAACCTAATATGAGCTGCGACCTCATTTTACAAATAAGTTAATAGAGAAGTTATACAAGGACGACACTGTGGGCACAGAACCCAGGGTTCTAACATGTCAGCGCATATCTTAGCTAGTCAGCCTCACTGCCTTTCACAATGAATGTGCTTTGGTTATCCTATGAAACCACTAAATCAGACTCTTAGCTGGATATCAGGAACGCTGTGCTATAGCTCTGGCTATCTAACAAACAGTTGTGTAACCCACAGAAAAAGTTCGTGCCAAATCCGCCTCTAGCAGCTGAGCCTTAAGTAGACACTAGCAATTACTGTTGTACATCAAGTGATAGAGATTTAAACTAAGGGACACGGGTTCAAACCCTGCTGTCCCCTATCTGAGACGTTGTTATGGACATCCACATATAACAGATTTTGTTTTTAGAGTTTTGTTTTCAAAAAGAACTGGTTTATTTAAGTCACACAATGGGAAAATATCCTGTAACACATATTTGTAATTAAGGACTACTACAATTTGAAGGCTGCTACTCTGACACCAAAATACAGGTGTTTTATATTTCAGCCATTGGCATCTCCCCCTCTTCTCTCTTTGACCCTAGGGGCCAACCCAGTGAGGTACACCAACCCTATATTAAAAAACAAACAAACTAGGAAATGAACACAAACTTCTCTTAGTGATAGTTCAGTGATACCTTGCTCTCTAGCACAAAATCTTAATGGTAACCTCAGCAATGTTAAGGCATTATTATTATTATTATCATCATCATCATCATCATCATCCCCACCACCACAACACTTAGGAGGCCTAATCATGCTCTAAAGTGCACGTTTGATGACGTTGGCGTACATTTTTTTTTGTATCTGTTGGAAATGGAAGTGAAAGCCTTATGGAGTGCAGGAGTGAGTTATCAACAGTGTTGCAGACAATATGAAAGCAACAAGAAATGCAGGAGAATTTCCCCTTGTTATTTCCATACTTTTTAGGTTTTGAGTTGGTGGGGCACTCCAAGTCATCCTTAACTGTCATTAAACAAAGTTTTTATGGGTTTAATATTATTAGCACTGGTTGGGAATTTGCTATCAATATTTTTAAGGCGAAAATGTAGTTTTTACAAAACTGAAATTTTCCACAGAAAAAAAGTCAATTTTTCCTAATTTTTTCAATTTTGACATTTGAAAAAATTGAAACAAACATTTCATTTCAGGTCTACACATGACTGAGCTACTGTAGTGCCTTATCAGCACTTGTAATGTTGTGCTTTATGCCTTTATTCCCCCCATGGGCTGGACTACATCTTCCATGATGCATGGCAGTTTCCCATCTGGCCACCAAAAATTAAGATACATTACAGTGGAAACCAACAAGTGGATAAGAAAGCTGACAGACTCTTGTACAATTGACTGAACGAAAAGTTAATTAACTCACATCTTTTCCAATCAGGTCCCTCTGATTCTCAATGATACCCCAAGGAGGGATTCCAATGGCACAAATCTTTCTCAAATATTGAGAGGCATGCGCTTTCAATGCGTCCCCCACATGCCGGGACACTCCTAAACAGATAATCATCATCATCATTCTTCTACATTTAGATTCCTGCTACACAACTGTGATCAACACTTCCAAAGTTGTTTCCATCATCTATTTTACTCTGTAGTTATTTAAATGCAAGTATAATTATACACTCTATTGATACACTTCATATGGATTATGGGAATAGTGAGGTTTAATTGATTGAGACAATAATATAGTGCCCCATTCTTCCAAACTTGCTCATGCTTAACATTACGTGTGTGTAACCAATGGACTATTCCCATGCATAATGTTAAGCACAAGTGTTTTCAGAAATAAGGCCAAAATGGAGATCTTCTTTAGGATTTACTTTTAAAAGTATTGAATCTAATTTTTATTTTTAACCATTTAAATAACTTTAAATGGATATCAAAGTTGATGTGCCCCAATTTTGAGAATCTTTTTTCAAAATTAATTTATTATTTTTGGATAATTTTCACCCAGAAGAAACTTGTTATTTTATAAAAGTCCTACATAATAAATCAGCAGCCTCATACTCAGGAGAAGATCTACACTTAACAAAATAACTTGAGTAAAACACACACAAAAATTGTTAAGGAAACATTTCACTTTCAAATTACCAAGCGGTTATTACAACTAACAGCAATTAAAAATGATTTTATTATTATAAAAAAATACCTGGACTGTGACCTTTTCTGATTTTTGAATTATAGAATAACTAAGAGAACTAATGCATCTTTCTTTCTCTTGTCTATTATCCCCTTCCAACCTCTTCTAATACACACTGAAACAGCAATTTCAAAACTCAGGCCACAGTATGATGAATGCCAGCCAGTGATTCAAGGCCTGATCCTGATCAATGGTGAGCACTCACACTTAGAACTGGAAAATTGCTATAAAAAAGGTATGAGTATAAAAACATCACCAATTCACTTTGTTAGTATTCCCGACCTGCCTTTGGTTTATTCCAAACAGGGATTTAATGTGGTTTAAGTAATCCACTTCAAATTTACATCTTTAGTTAATCTGGATTAATTTGCCTGAATGTCCCTGTACAGACAAGCCCTTACTCAAAAGGCATGACCCTCAACTGGTGTAAATCAGCATTGCTACACTGATTTTCAGGGAGCTATACTGATTTACACTAGCTGAAGATCTGGCCCATTGTGAATAGTTTGCAAACAACTCATTGTAAGCACACAGATTTCAGACAAAGTGTTTCAACAATTTTGAACAAGCTAATCTGTTTAAAAAAAAAAAGTCTGTTTGCAGAGCATTTACAGATAACAGAAAAATGATTAAATTCATCTAATAATGTATAGGTTATGAACAGTTGCTCTGCCATACTCCCATTAAAGGTCTCAAGACCAAGAATTCAGTGATATGGAAAAGTCCCTCCCATAGATTTTATAAACTAATTGTTATTGCCATTTCCATTACAGGATATTGCACAATAGCAGAGTAGTATAGGTCATTTGTGAGCTTCCCTTAGATCCAAATCTTCCTTAATGCATCAAAATCAGCACGTTCCCTAGGTGAGATGACTACAACTAAAGAGGAATGTAAAGAGTGACTCTTTAGGGAGTTTCAGTGCATTCACAGGTTAGTTAACAGAGCACCATCATTTAAAATGCTCATAATTATAAAACTGAATGAAATCTAAATAAATGAAATTTTGTTTAAAACAAACACTTGACCAAAATAGCTAGCAGTCGATACAGTATTAGGGCTCTAACCATTTTACTAAAGTAGATCAAAATCTATTCTAAGGCAAGCACTCCAGCCAGCTCCAACTGGTCTGCAGTTTGCTTCTTATTTCATGCGTAACATGATCAGGTCTTTTTTCACAGAAAGTATTAAGAATACTGGTCAAAACTGGAGCAGCCTGATGACACCCCCGTGTCTACTATGCCCTCAAAATATCTGTTTTCTTTTATTTTTATTTCCAAATTATAGTTTCTTATTTTGTGTTATAAGTACCCCCAAATTACTGCATTACATCAATACATTGTATCATCCCTCAAGTCTGTACATATGAGAAAAACGAAGAGCAAGTATTAGATGAAGAGGCAGATAGATAAAAAGAATTACCACTGTTGATGCCTTCTGTTATTATCCATGCTCCTGTAGTCTCAGCAGCTTTGACCAACCCTTTGCTGAAAACCTGTTTGACCTTAGATGGAAGCTTGAAGTTTTGGATGCCTCCATGAACAGAGATCACTAGCTTTGGCAGCTCCATCTGCCATTCTTTCACCATCAGATGTAATAGCTGGTCCAGTTTGGTGTCATAAGAGGTTCTAATATACTGGAAGAAATACACTCGTGTATATTGCATGTTTCTTAAATAACCAAAACTAGACATGGTGGAACCTTAGAAAGTTCTCATTTCTAAAATCTTCAAAGACCGTGTTGTGAAAATTCTAATGTTTCACAAACAAAGGGACTTTAAAAAATGAGACCTCCTGGGAATAGCATAAAAATGTCCACGTCATTGAGACATACATATAGCCATGTAAATCTCCCGAGTTTGCAAGGTCTTTGTCTCTTCTTGTTTTTTTACAAAAATATTTTACTATTTGAGTTTCTAGCTCTGAGTTGGAGTGATGGTCTTCCTGCCCTAAACACGGAAAATTCCCTTTGTGGGGTTGTATGTATGGCCCACCTAGAGAAAACAACACATCTGTGATTTGCCAGGCTGCAGTTTGTGAGGGTGAGCCGGGGAACCCAGCACTGATGATTATCCCGTGTGAGGGTGAACAGAGGAACTAGGTGTTGACGAATATCCCATGTGCTGCACTCCATGAAGATGAGCAGAGGAATGAAATGCTGAGAAATGTCTACCTGTTGTACTCTGAAGATTTAGGCAGCTTAAGGAAACACATTTCACTGTCACTTTGTGCTTCTCAGAGCACAGCCTACAGAAATCCCCCAAGTCAGGATCTTCAGAAGATGAAGGGGATCGAGGGGCTATTTTTGTGTGTGTGCTTTATGTTGGGGTGACTCTCAAATGCAGAGTGATATTTCATATTGACAGTCCTGTGAAGAGGGACTGTGTGGTTACTTTTTGAACAGCTTTCTTACCCTGCAATAGAGGGGGTTCAGGTGCGAGGTTTGTGCTGGACTGGGTCCAGAGGGGGCTTCTCTGGGTCCCATGCTTTGTTCAAGGGAAATTCTTAGATGTGGCCTTGAGATAAGCTGACCCCACCCCAGGAGCACACCAGGCTTCAGTCCTGGAGGTTCAAAGTGAGTCCTTGGGCCACTTGCTACACTAGGAGACAGAGCTGGGCTGACACTGTTGGCCAGGAGTAGTTCTGGGCTACTGCAGGGCTGGCCAAGCTGTAGAATGGAGGGAGGGGTTGGGGTGAGGGCCCCTTACCAGGCTCTCCTTGCTCTGGAACACTATTGGTAGCCCCCTGCCACTGCAGCGGTTTGAGTGAGGGGCTGGGCAACCCCCCCTCCCCCTTCTTCCTCCCTCCGCAAGCACTGGAGGGAGGCCCCGGAGACGCAGGGGGAGCGCGGGGCCAGGGTGAGTGAGAATCCAGCCTGGCCCCGAGCGCAGGCAGGACTCAGTCAGGCGGTAGGGAGAGGAGGGGGGTGACCCGCGGGGCCAGGCGGCGGCTGTTCTCCCCCCTGGGCAGCGGGACTCGGGAGCAGCCGCTGCTGCAGCTCCCACTGCCACGGGGGGAGGAAGCGGCCGCTGGCCAAGCTCGGCGGCTGCGGCTCTGGCGCCCGGGCCCGAACCCCCCCAAGCCCGGGCCTGTTGCGGAGACCCAGGGCGCACGCTGCGCCCAGCCCCTGGCCAGTCGCGTCTGGGCTGGCTGCCCAGCTGGTGCAATCCCGCGGGCGGCCCCGGAGTGGGGCCAGCAGGCCCCAGCCCCCCCGTCCCACTTGGGTCCCGCTGATAAAGGCAGATCCTGGTGGTCTGGAGATTTTAAAGCATTTTTTTTTCTTTAAATTTGCTCTGCAGTAGGAGAAGAGCTGGTCTGCCTGCCTGCAACTGGAGAGGAAGATGAAATCTAGCAGTTTCTCAGAGGTGGAACTACCCTCCCCTGCCTCTGATTGACAGGTTTGATCTGCCTATGTAGAGCAGAGAAACAGTCATGGATCTGTGGACCCCACTGTGAATAAGAACCAGCCTGTTTTGATCACAGTGTACAGCCTGGGCACGTGTGTAATTCTATTGGCAAGTTAATGATAGAAGGGTAAGGAAGGTGTCATTTGGTTAGTAAAAATCTACAGTCATAATTTCAATGCTGTCACCCTCAGTGGCATGGCAGGGGGAGGATTTGCTGTCCTCCCAGCTCCAGGTCCTACAATTGGTGGAAAATTTATAGCACAATGTCCTTGGAAATGGGTCAAGTTGGGTGTTTTGAAAGCCCTTTCTCCCACGACCACCATGGTACCAACCATGACAAACCTAGAACAATTATGTAGATGTATAGTCCAGAAAATATTTGTAAAAGACACCCACGCAAATGACATTGTGTATCACCTCGAGTGCTACATTAAGAATGTACGTAACATGTTGCATCAAAAGGTAAAAGCAACAGAAACAAATACTGATTTTACCAATGCAAACTGTGTGGCTCAGCCAAATTCATAAATTGCATAAATTTTATCAGAAGGCATTTGATTCAACCTCCAGAGACACTCTCCTCGCTCTGAAAGTGCTTGGAATGGCTGAGACAGTCACTGATGAGGTCATAAATGCACTGGAATCATTCATATGTCAAGTTTACCATTTGAAGACCAACATTACAACACTTGCAAAGTTACATTAGTGGTTGTTTTCCAAGAAGCAGACAAATGGCCAACAAGGGGTACATTTCTACCTGCTATCAAGAAGGCAAATTATCAAGAAGTGGAATGGCTCCAGGATGACTGAATGCATCTAAAACTACCCTCCCCTATAGGGCATGGGTATGTCTTGGAGGATGGACTGATCCCCCCTGTCTTGTGTGAAATACCATGTTCTCCCAAATCAATTCTTCAGCAAATGAAATGCTTGTGTGCAAAGCTCAGATGCTCATTTCCCTGAAAACATTTGACCAACAGCCTGCCCTGTAGGGAAATGTGTGAATGTGGCCCAGACAAGGATTAGTGTGACAATGTGGCTAGGAGTGGTGCCCTAGACGGAGAAGATATGACTTTGATGAATAAATGTTTTGAATCCTACTTGTCAAGGCTAACTTCCCTAGGATTACCAAAGATCAATGTCTTTCTATGTGTAATCACTGCATCCCTGTGTTATGCTATAATTTAAAAAACATTGATTTTTAAACTTCTCAAATACATATTTGTCCTAGGTTTGTCGTGTTTGGTATCGTGTTCATGGGAAAAAGGACTTTCGAATGATACCCAACTTGACCCATGTCAGATGACATTGTATTATCAAAATTTCCTCCAGCCAGAGGATCCGTGGCTGAGAGCCTGGATGTCAGCGAGTTTCCCATGCCATGCCGCAGATGGTGACACCATTAAAATGATAATTCTGTGGCTTTTTACAAATCAAATGATACCTCCCTTATCTCTCTATCATTAACTTGTCCACAGAATGAGATTTTACTACATTCTGTTCCCAGACTAATAGTGTAACATGAAGGCACTATATGCATGCTTTTACTGGGCCGCTTTGAACTTGGTCTGTTTTCTTGTTTCAACCAAATAGTTTGAGGTTCACCCAGTGCTAATTTTAACTTGTCCAGTTTCTTTATCATTAGAATAGTAAAAGGAGAAGTCATGTTAATCCAGCATTGTTAAAATCAAATAAAGCTGCAGTTTACAGGCAAACCTTGGCATGGTAAGTATGATCTCCGTCTTGGAAATTGATCGTTCCAAATGAGTCAGTAGGACTTGTATGTGTATGCTTCTGGACAGACCATTCTTCATTCTCCCTCTCTCTGGTAGGCTGGTAGACAGGAGAACTATAATCTATTCCAGGATGGTCTCCAATCAGCCGTCCACAGCAACATCTCAAATCAAAAATAAAATCATGCATTACATAGCTTATCTCAAATACCACTTGTTAAATCTGCAAAGATGGCATCACACTACATATTAATTGTTTTGATGGCAGATTGCTAAGGACAAAAAGACATGGGACAAAAATCACCAAAACACCTTGATTCCTATGCTGAAAAATTGTAGTCTCTGGGTCTTGTCTCTTTCTTACACTTTGCAAATGCTTGTATAGCTTGCCACATCCATAAGCTATTAATGAATTAAACTGAAAGTTGAATTTCAGGCTAACCATGCGCAGCCTTGTGGATGCCTATGTTAAGATAAATACTGGGATTCTAAAATGGATTATGATGTTGATGATGAATTTATTTGTATTGTGGTTGCACCTAGGAGTTCCAGTCATGGACTAGTAGGACATCACAAGGACAGGGCTGCCCTTTAACTGGATAGAGATTAAGAAGAATCTTTATGCTATTTTATCTCTTGACTACTACTTAACTGAATGTAATAAAGTACGTCCACTGAAGTAGAATGTTAATGAGACATTAGCAGAATTGCATTTAGCATAGAAAACCCACAGCAGAAGACACTACTATTCAACAAGTTCCTAGTCTTGCTTTCTAGCTTAGTTTATTAATACACCTGGCATCTTCTCTGGGAACATTTCAGGTTTTAAAATATTCTTGTGATATGCTAAAATCTGCCATGCCCTTAGGTTTAGCAATGTTCTCCCTCTAATCCCGTCTATTTCTATAGGGAAAATCTGGCCAGTCTACCAGCATTAAAAGCTAGGAGTATTTTTAGTGTCCTAAAAATCATGGATGAGCAAATCAATCAGTTAAGAGGACAAACTATTCTGAATTCCAATCCTTTCCCCGAATCAACCCAAAATTTTAAAGATTCAGATTGCTTTCATAAATCTGCACCCAGCAAGCTCCCACCATGTCCCTCAATTTTTGCCATCCAGCCAAAAACCTTCCCCAAACCTTTCCTTCTCTGTAGTACCTCAGCAGCTCACAAAATAGTTGCACTTAATGAATTCTTGAGCACCTCTGAAACAACAGACCATGTACAATTTAAATCAATAGTTGATCCAAGGTCCACAGTAAAGACCAGACCTGCAAAACCCCACAATGGGATCAAAGTTAAGAGGTTTATGGAAGTCTTCCAGAGAGACAGGGAATCTTGTGAGTGGAGCCCTGCGCAGATACAAATTTTGTATCTGCATCCAATCCACAAACATGGTACGCGGATATCTGCACATTAGCAGGGCTCTACTTGTGAGGAGCTGAACATGGAAAGTTGGGGATACAGAACTGGGTTCTACTGCAAAAGGGAATGATGGGAGAAGAGAACTGATGGGTTGGAATGGATAGTTCAGACAAAAAGAACAGGAGTACTTGTGGCACCTTAGAGACTAACAAATTTATTTGCGCATAAGCTTTCGTGGGCTATAGCCCACTTCATCGGATGCATGCAGTGGAAAATACAGTAGGAAGATATACATATACATACAGAGAACATGAAACAATGGGTGTTACCATACACACTATAAGGAGAGTGATCAGTTTAAGGTGAGCTATTATCAGCAGGACAGAAAAAAAGAACTGTTTGTAGTGGTAATGAAAATGGCCCATTTCCAGCAATTGACAAGATGATGTGAGGAACTGTGGGGGGTGGGGGAGCATGGGGAAATAGTTTTACTTTGTGTAAGTAAAGACAAGTATCTCAATTTTTTACCACTTATCTGAGCCAAAACCCCAAATCTTTTAAGGTTTGTCCAACACTGTTAAAAGCAGATTTAAAAATTATTACAAATGGGAATGGTTTGCTACAGAGAGAAAAATAGCTACAAAAGAGAGGCAAAGACATTAAACAAAGGTGGAAGATAAAAAATAAGTCTAACCAAGTGAAGGAGGAAATAGCAAGAAGAAAAAGAGCAGATAAGAAAATATTTTTAAATGATCACCAACTCTCTTTTGTAAGATTCCAAAAAGAGGGGGGGAAATTACATCAACAATGTTTAAAATAGCAGTGTCGTTCTACACAATAGCAATGTCGTTCTACACAAAATTTAGGACAATCACCACCTCCTGCAGATCCTGAGAAATCTGAAATGCAGACTTCCTTGTCTCTCTACCACAAAGAATGATGACAGCATAAGGTTTGAAATAACCATTGCATTTTAAACCTCTCTTTTTAGACTGTGACAGACTGGAGTATCATCTGAGGGAAATCATGTTTGAAATACATAATTAGTAACAGGATATTAATCTTTCCTCACATAATACTCTGATTAAACTAATAATTAAGCTAGGGGAAACAGAGTTGCCACAGAGAGAATGTAAAGCTACCACATCTGAACCCTAATACATTGTATTCAGCATAGCAAGGTCATTGTTTATGAAGGTACTTTTTGGCACCTAGAGACTGCTTAATTATACATGCATTCAAAACTCTTCGATATAAGCAAATAAGCTTAATAAAATTTGAGCTATTCAGTGTCCTACAAATGCAGATTGGAGGAATGAAAACTCACATAGATACTGAAAGTAAACTGGTACACACAATGGAGAATTGAAGAGTTGTAGAAATGTAACTAGCCTCACTATTGCTTGTACAATGATGCTTGATTAAAAGTCAGAAGGTAATGAGGACTCAACCCTTGAAGAACAAAACATAATGAGACTGCTTAGTAAGTGCTCACCTCCAAGACAAACAAGCATTCCACAGTTTGATTCAATATACAACAGTGGAGAGAAGTTTGTGGGGGACAGAGAACTTCTCTGAAACAAGGATGTGCCACACAGACCCTAGGGGTTTGTCTTGATTAGGCAAAGTGGTTCCGTTTCAGTTGGGCTTCGTTAACAAGTGCTAGCTAAACTCAGTTTAAATGTAGCCTTTTTCTGAGTCAGGACAAACCCTGACGTATCAACAGAAAACACAGACCTGTCAGAAAGAGGCCAGGGGCAGACAGACGGGCGGACGAACGCACACATAAACACAAACTCTAAGGTGTAGTGTAATGGGACAATTTTATCCTGCCTAAGGGAGACTTTCATTATTCTTAGAATACTTATGATATATCCTACATAGCTTTGATTGTATTTCTCTTATTTAACTTGCTTTTAAAGATAATTTTGGAATTGTTAACTTATTTTGGTATACGTTCCGAAAGCTAGAGTCAAAGAAAAAGAAAACAAACCCCTGGATCCAGATATGTCAGAATGGGTACACAGAAATACCTGCCTGGGTCACTCAAGTCAAAGGCATAGGCAATGGAAATCTAACCCCTGGCTTATGTCAGCTGCACCATGGGGAAAGCCTAAAGAGCAAAAGGGTGGCAGTCACAGCTGACACATACCTTTTCTCTAGTTTTTTAAAGTTGTGGTGTCACACTGGAACCAAAATCCATTAGACTCTCATGGAAGTAATTTTTCTATAATACGTTTAGGTAAATTTTTAAACAATCATTGGATCTGATTCACCCAGGTTTTATGTTGGCTTATGCCCTTCCAGAGGCAGATAATCCACCAGGGTATGAAGTTGTAGCAGCACAAACCAGCCACAAATTCAGTTATTGTGAGGATGGAGGCATTGGAAACTAACACAGTCCAAAAAGTGAGCCATGCTGCCTATTTGGAAAGAGCATGTGGCCAGAATGTGTGCTGGTTCATCACTTCTCAGTGGCTCCTAAGGACTACCAGCAGGAACTACAATTATTCCCCCAAGGAAGAGGCAGTGATGATATTATTGTTAGATGTATTATTGCCATGCAGTGAAGTGAATTTCCCCTGCAGTCCTGGGGGCTTAGCTCTTAATCACACCGTTCCAGTTTCTCTGAGTCTGGATCATATACTCTTGACTTCTTTGGAAAAGTTGCAGACACATTTTTAAGTTCTAGCAAAAATTTTGTTGCTCATCTTTAAAAGAAAGAAAGAGAAAGGGAGAATCTGGACATACTTCTGTTCTCCTATGGTCCTGAAAAGCCCTTATGGGCTCCAGTATATATGTATAGTGGGACTCACATTAACATACTCTTATGTCATTACTGCTTCAGGCATCATACTGAATAACACAAAGCAAACAGCAATCCCAGTTAAACAATCCAATCCAATAGCCAAGGCCTGTATGAGCCAGCTATTGAAAGCACTTACAATGGTTAAGCAGGCATATGCAGGAAATGGAATCATAGCACTTAGAAGTGATCCAGTTCACCAAAGTTTGACTGTGTTTTGCAAAGGCAATTTCAGCACACACAATAAACCACTATCAAAATATCAGCATACACTGACCATCTTATGCATTACAGAACTATGCCAGCAGCTATTCCTATAGCTGCAGGTGCTAGAAAACTCAGCCTACCCTATGGAGAGGGTGATTCATCATCTGACACTATAAGTTATTCCAGTGGACCTGAAGCTGAAGCTCATAGGTCCAGTGAAAGCTGAGCAGTTTACAACAATCATACCTTATATTAAGGGTATATTTATAAACAGTTTAAAAATGGTTGATAGATGTTATAAGTTAGTATTGGGTACAGACTGTTATACGCACTTCCCTGGATGTTATAGATGGTTATACGCAACCTCCTGGACTCTATAACAATTGACTAACCATATATTCAAACATCTATTATGCAGTTATTTACCCTATGCAAACGTGCACTTAAAAGAAAGTGTTATAACAATAATAATGTATTTCAAAGGAGCTGCTTTGTCTTATTTAGGCTGATAGCTCAAGTTAGCACACAGAAGGAGCAGAACGATAGAAGGATCCAGTTTGGGGAATCCTCCGTTGCAGGAACAAGAGTCAAGGAGGAGATTTAAATGATGCGGCAGTAAAGCCCAGTTGTGATAGCTGGGGAAGGTTGAGAGCTCCACAGCAGAGCCAGGGAGTTCGCAAAGTAGGGGCCATGATGTAATGCTGACAGCTAGTATTACATTCCCCACTGTGATAACTTAGTCTCAGTTTCAGAAACTGACTGCAGCGAACACTCAAGTATCGTTGTGACAGAGGCTGTTTCTACAAGGTCACTGCAAAGCTGGGAAATAGTCACTCCTCCTGCAAAATGTGAAAGCCTCAGCAGCAGCACTGAACTTGGAGATCTTCCCTGGAGAAAGAGAGTAAATGAGTGAGGCACCAGACGCAGCCAGATCAGACCGACCTTACCAAGGCGCTTTCCTCATTCTCGTTGCCCTTTTTTAATGATATGCATAGGAAACACTGTCATATAAAGTGCAGTTTACACAGTCTACAACCCTTTGACAATTACAGTGAGAGTCATTGTCAGTAAGGTCATTGCTTCACAAATGTTGCTTGGGTGGGAGCCAATTTCCAGAAAAGGAAATGGCTGCATAACACATGCACTATAAACATAAAAAGTATGTTCCACAGATAATGAGAGCGCTGCAAGTGCCTAGGTTAGACAGACAGAGACACCCTGTGACAGATTAGCATATGCCTGTATGCCTGTTATATCAATCAAACCCCACTCTGTTTTGTAAACACCATTTTAATTGTAAAATTGTGCTGTGCCTTCACTTCTGCACTGCGGCCTCCATCTTGAACTGAAACACCCACAATGTGTTGGGGAAATTCTTGCTTCTAGCAGACTTCTAACAATAGAGAACAATCTTGGCTTTCCATAAATGGAAGCTCCCTAGAACAAGGAACAGGTTGTAGCCCAGGGAAACCAGTTTTCCAAGTCTGAGCTTCGGGGGGGTGGGAACTAAGCAATGAATCACTTGAAAAGAGACTTGAAGCCCCTCAGAAGGGTCACCTGATAGAAGGGACGTGAACATCATAAAAGGACAAATTCTGCTCTGAGCTGGGTCTTGCTCTCCAGCTACCCATCGGCTGACAGAAGACAAGACTGGGTAGGTGGAAAGTGGGTGCACAAGAATCCAGGATTCTCTGGAAGGACACTGCCTATGACCAAAAGGGCTCTCGGGAGGGGTTGGGAAACTGAGGCAGGGTCTTGGATGCTGTTATATATATATATATAGCTCTGTATATCTATTGTGCTGTAGCTGTGTTTAAAAGTGCCTTTGCAAAGTCTCTGTGTTACTTCCTTTAACTGTCACAAACTCTCTGAAGGGTGAGACAGTAACCCAGAGTACCCACAAGGGTGGAGCTGTGCAGGTGTGCTTAACCTCCTGGGGAAACTTGGGGTCTAGAGCAGCTACTGTCCCATGCCCTGAGAAGGGAAACCAGGAGTTGCAGTTTGTATCTCGTGAGCGCATTTAAGAGCCAGACCTGGAGACAGTTCCTGAATTCTGTTCAGATTAGTAAACTTAAAAGCTCATGAGATCCAAAGGTTTGGATCCAATACAGCAGCCTGGTGAGCATCCAAAGGGGGAAGTCAGTCTGGGTTGTAACAGAGCCATTAGAGTTGTGTTTGCAAATCAATGCTGCTCAGAAGCATGTGTCAGCCTTTCCAATGTATTTAGTAAAGTTGGTAGAATAATGGACAGAGTCACTTATATATTCACAATTAAACTACTCAGATTTGATTAACAGCTATTTGTGGGGTCATGCCATTCATTATTTGAAAATATTTGTATAACCACTGGCACTCACTAAAATGATTGCAAACCTTGAGACCACATGTCATAAACAACCGAATTTGAAAAGTAATTTGCCCAAACTATAAGGCCAATATTTACAAATATCAAATATAACCAGTGCCATCTGGAATGATTCGTGAACAATGTCTAGACCAAAGTAGGCCTAAATTGGTTGGATTTTTGTCCCAATAAATACAGTTTTAACCAGTTGTAACATTTATGTCTGTATTGAACTTTGCCAGAAAAATTCTTTCAGAATGAAACTTTGTGCATATCTTTCAGCTAAAAACAACAACAACAAAAGCAAAATCCTTTGTTTTGAAAAATGTAGCTGGATACAATTTTTATATTTATAAATGTAAACACTGAAAAGTGCACACTAAAAAAAAACAAAAACAAATCACAATCATTGGACCCAGTTCTTATTTTTCTCACTTTGTTAGCCATTGGTTTAACATGCAGTAACTCATGCAGTTGTTTTGTTTCAGTTTCCAGATTCAGCAAACATCATAGTGGGAGGACTGGGAAGGAGACTTTCAGTATAGAACAAGTGCCAAGGAAGGTCAACATTCTGCTCTAACAGCCTTTACAGTATGCATCCGAAGAAGTGGGTTGTAGCCCACGAAAGCTTATGCTCTAATAAATTTGTTAGTCTCTAAGGTGCCACAGGTACTCCTGTTCTTTTTGCGGATACAGACTAACACGGCTGCTACTCTGAAACCAGCCTTTACAGTAGCCTCTTAAATGCACACTAATGCCAGCTGTGCCCAGGCACTAATGTTAATTTCAAAGGAGGGATCAAAAAGCTGATGATGAACATAAGTAGTATGAATATCAGCTGCCTAAAAAGACCACTGCCCTGTTAAAACACACAAAACGATGTGAAGTCCAGTGTATTCCCCTTTCCCATCTGCAATGTTATATGATTAATATATGACCATATAGATCGTTGTTGCTACCACTGTTATACAACTGCAACAAAGGTTGTACAGAAGTATGTCATGTAAGGTGTCTATGGAAAAGTTATGGTTTGCTGAATATGATTATCCTATTTGCATGCATCATTTTTTTATCTGAAGTTATTATGAATATTGACTGTATGCCTGTATTTCAAATGTGTTCGCTCCTGTGGTCACACCCACAAGGGAGTTTATTTCTAGTTTGGCCAGCACATTGTGAAGGGACTATTCAAGTTGAATGGCCCATCAAAGAACACTTAACTCACAATGGACTCACAATAAAAGAGGCTTATCCCCACCAGATGGACCTTCCTGGGGACATTCTAGCTAGAATATGGGTAATGACCTCTGCTATCACTCAGCGAAGCATGCAAGGGCATGTGACTCTAAACTCCATCTTGTTACTTGTATTTTTCTTGTGTTTTTACTTGTATTTTTGTATTTTTCCACAAACTGTGCTAAGGGCTTTGTTTGGAACAATGGGTTTTCCTCCACATGGCAGAAGCTATAAAAGGCCCTGGAAACATCTCCATTTTGCCTCTTTCCTTCTCTAATCTCTGGACTATGGATTTATACTAATGGGAGCATTCTAACCAAGGGACCGAGGACCTTCCAAATCATTTGGAAGCAACCAGAGACTTAACAAACCAGCGGTTTATTTCATCACTGCTTCAAGCCTGAACCAAGAATTTTGCAATTATTGTATGTTTTTGATTCCTTTAACCAACTTTAACTCTCACTTTTCTTTCTTTTTATAAATAAACCTTTAGATATTAAAGGATTGGCAACAGTGTGATTATTGGGGAAGATCTGAGTTATATATTGTCCTGGGTGTGTGGCTTGTCCTTTGGGATCAGAAGAACCCTTTTGTTTGATGAAATTGGTTTTAAATAACCATTCATCATTAAGTCTAGTGTCTGGGTGTTAAATCCAAGACTGGAATTCCTAAGGAGGCTGCATTCCTGACTTCCTGTTAGCCAGTGTGGGGAGACTTTTGTTGCTGGTTTGGTATATCTTATGGAAGAATAACCACCAGTTTTGGGGTATGGTTGCCCTATTTCTCAGCAGCTTGTCCTGAATTTGATATTCTCCATTGTGACCCACTGAGGCACAGGGACACCACCTTAATAAATTAAAAGAAAACAGACCAAAAACTTTCCTAGTGGCCTCATATCCTTTACACCTTCAAGCTGGTTTCTGCAAAGCAGGAGCCCTGAACTACCAATGTTATCTGCTGATGGCAGATGCAAGTCCCAAAAATTTGAGAAAAAAAGAAGTGGTGGTCCTTGCATTGTCCCCCACCCCCACCCAAGGATTCCATTCCAACCACTTCCCCTGTCATCCGATTCCTACTGCCTCTCACATCCCTTCCACATACTGTGCCATTCAGCATATGGCTGGAATTGTTAGCTGCCTAGGAAGGAGTTTTGTACTATTTCTGTCTGGTACCCATCAGGGCAGGATTAAGACAATTTGCCACAGAAGTCTTTCTTTGCACATTTCCTAGTGTGTGTGAATTCAGTCTTAGTATGCAACTTACTTTAGCAGAATCTATAATAAATTCTTCAAACAGACCCCAGAAATTATGTTCTGATCGTTTCAGTGGCTGCAACGTTTTGCCATTGCTTGCTGGATTAAGAACACAAATTGTTTCTTTAGCCCATTTTAGAAAGCATAGCCTCATATTTATAAGGTCTTACCTGATTAAGTTCTGGCATATCTGGCATCCTGCAGGACATCTGGAGGAATATATATCAGTAAAACAGTGTATTATTATATACAAGAAAATATCTGTTATTTGATGCATCAAATGTATTAAATACTGGGTAATAAAAAGACTTGTGAAAAAATTTTAAGCAATGGCATTGAAACTTGTGTACAAGACTGTAGTCATCATCTGAAGATCTATTCTAAAAGCTCAGTGTTTTATTTGGAATTTTAAACTGTTATACTATTAGTATTTCATAGTTGGAGTCATCATCATCCTAACAAGGCAGTAAACAGTTTAGTCTCTTGAGGACTGAAATGCTTTAATCTAACCCAAGTTATTGGGATAACTGGGTGAAATTTAATGGCCTGTGACACACAGGAGGTCAGACTACATCATCTAATGGCTCCTTCTGGCCTTAAACTCTATGAAACCATGAATTATCATTGTTTATTGAGTACCATCAATGCACTCAGAATTATATGATCATAGTACTATCCCCAAGAAGTTTACAATCTTAGGATCTGATTCTACAGGCCTTATTTAGTCAAAGCTACCACTTAATTAGTCATAAAGCTTGCGAGGAAAAAAATGTTTGTTTTGTCCATTCCTCAAATGAGGGTTGGAGCATTTTAATTTCCGACTCTTTCCAGTGTTCTATGGAAGAACAACATGATTCATCTCACTCCTCAAGACAGAGACCTGCTGATAGGGATACTGGGATTAATAGTAGCTCTCTTCTTCTATTTAGAGCAGGTTCTACCTTACTATTTGACACAAGGTCACATTTTTGGAGTAGGAAGGAGAATTTCCATGTACCAGTAATTCGGTTCTGTGAACTGCACCACACTTCTCCCTCTCAGTCTATCTCACGTGGAGGCTAGGATGCATTTTCAGCTACCGGACTTAGAGCTACATGTCTGAAAGACCAGAATGGTCAACAGCTTCCAGTTTTGGTATGCAACAAACAATGGCCCTGTCATCACTTTACAAGTGTGTTGACTGAACTGTCCATGAAACATTTAATGAATGACACTGCAGCCCTACCCTGGTTATGACTAAAGGTGGCTAAAACCTCTCCTGTATATAACAGCACCTATTCTACAGTATCTGCACCTTCCTTAATATTTAAAGAAAACATTGGTGTGAGCTTCTAACTGCATGGCACTCATGTAATTGTGGCACTGCAAAACTGTAAGAACAGCATCCACAGTGTCCCTATAACATCTATCAATTCTCTTTCAATGTAACAAAAATAAAACCAAAATCACAACTATACCTGTGAGGATCTTTTGAGCTGGGTATGACTTTTGCACACTCTCTTTTATTGAAGACTCCTTCAATCCAAGATTTCTGAGACTGAAAAATAATACCAAACATAATTACAGTCCTGTACCTCAGAAAGCAAAATAAATAATTACTACATAATTTCTACAGTGCAGGACCTGTAAAAGATCTCAGAATGCTTTACACTGTGATGTGTGGGCAGCATAGTTATAGCAATGTCGGTCCATGGATATTAGAGAGACTACGCGGGTGAGGTAAGATCTTTTATTGGACCAACAGAAGTTGTTCCAATAGAAGTTATTACCTCACCCACCTTGTCTCTCTGTTACACTATGATGTCAGGAAACCAAATGCCAATTAATATTATCAAGGAGCCCAAACGAGAACTCTGAATCAGAACAACTCCAATACCCCACTCCCAAACGTAGAGGGGTTCTATCTGAACTTGGTAGTTTGAGTCCATCTCTTATTAATAAATGTGAAAGCTCACTCAGGGGAGGTTTAAGACTTACTTCATCTGCTATAAGTATCTAGGACAACCCAGAACTGGGGTGAGATATGAAATAAATGCTGATCTGTCAGTATCCTCCTCCTTCTGGAGGATATATGTTAAATGTCTAGTATGTAGCTATCTTATTAAGTCTGTAGTAATCCTGGAAAGGTGCAGGCTTTGAATTATCATTATAATAAACTTTTCTGAAAGAGAGGATTGCAATTTCTCATTTTATAGAGGATGTTAAGAATTGCAGTTGTCCCAGTTAAACATTTACTGACATGAAACTACAGAAAAATGCTGGAAAAGGCCTCTCCAAGGAGTTAATCCAACTTTTACTGAAGTCAGCCAGAGTCTTTCCATTGGATAAGGCTCCTAGAGAAGGGCTATAAAATTGAGTGAATTAGATATGCACTGTGCTATGTAAACTTCTCATGAAATCTCCCCAGGATTTTTTTTCAGTCACATGATTTATTTCAAGACCAAAAAAAACCCAAATCATCTCATGCTAAACTTCACTCTTCTGTCACTTTGCTTTTGGTACTTCTAGTTCCCTATGCCCCATCCACACAATGTCTATCTAGATAATAAAACATTGAGGGCAATGATGTGTCTTCATACTTACAGTATTTGTAAAGGGCCTATCACACTCTAAGAGCTATGTAAAATAGTAAATAACAAATGAGAATGCCAATAATTCAATTACTAGAGTATACCGTTTGGAGTCTTGTAGGCAGAGTTCTGTTATAACCCAGAATAATCCTCTTCAGCTTGTTTGATTAAGCATCATATTTCCACTAATCAGGAAAGTGTTGTTTTTTTTAAATTCACCTCCAAATCCTTAAATGTTATCATTCCAAACACAAATCTATGGCTGTTGATTTGACTGATGTACAGAACATCAAGAGCTGTGTAAAATGAGGTGTAAACATATCTAAAAGGTCTCCTTTTGACTCCCCTTGAAAGCAATGAGATTCTTTCCTTTGAATAATAGGAGCTACATCAGGAACTTACTAATATTAGAGTTTGTAAGAAAATCAATATAAGAAATCTATTTGAGTGGATATTTGTCTGGGAACTGCTGCATTTAATTGAGTCTAGTTTAGTTGTATCTTAGAAAGATGATGAATGGGGAAGATGACCCTCAGAGTTTGATAGGAGCTCAGAGACACACAGGAATATTAATAATCTCAGAAAGAAATTCATTGACTGGAAATTTTAAAAAGAAGGCATGGAAATGCAGTTCACGGGAAATGTTGAGTAGGAGTTGCATGGAGTAGTTTCATTATTTGATAGCAGGTTTTGTATATACAGTTCTCAGAAACCATTTGGACACATTCCTATTAGGAACCATTACTCCTTCATGCCTCCCAAACAACTCCATCCTTATTTCTTGAGCAGTCAAGCAAAAAATTGAATTGACACCATTATAGCGTATGGGGATTCCAAAAATCCACCACTGTTTCCTGTAAATAAAATTCTAAGCCTATCAAAAGTGGCAGAGAACAGCATGTCCATTAATTTTACTCACTGCCTTGAGGAAGAATTTATTTTGCTGAACTTGTTAATTAAAATTACTATGTTAGGGTGACCCAATAGCTCCTTGATTAATGCTGTACAGTACAACATGAGAGATCCGGACTCAATCTCTTGCTCTCTTGGTGGGCAACACCTGGAAGCACTGACAAAAGCAACAGGGGAAGAAAATCTAAGAGAAAAAGGAATTCAGGAGAGCTGGCCATTTCTCAAAGACACAATATTAAAGGCACCACAGCAAGCTATCCCGATGCAAAGGAAAGATAAGTAAGAGGCCAATATGGCTCCATCAGGAGCTCTTTAATGACCTGAAAATCAAAAAGGAAATCCTACAAAAAGTGGAAGCATGGACACATTGCTAAGGATGATACAAAAGAATAGCATGAGTATCTACAGTCAAAATCAGAAAGGCTCAGGTACAAAATGAGTTACATCTAGCAAGGGACAAAAAGCAATAAGAAGAGGGTTTGTAAATTCATTAGGAGCAAGAGAAAGATGGGTTCAGTAGTGTTCAAGAATTTTTATAATGACTTAGATAATGGAGTGGAGAATATGCTTATAAAATTGGTAGATGACATCAAGCTGTGAGGGGTTGTAAGCATTTTGGAGGTCAGGATTAGAATTCAAAAGGAGAACTGATCTGAAATCAACAAAATGAAATTCACTAAAGACAAGTGCTAAGTACTACTCTTAGGAAGGAAAAACATCAAACACACAAATACAAAATTGGGAATAACTGTCTAGGCAGTAGTACTGCAGAAAAGGATTGGGGGTTATAGTGGATCACAAATTGAGCATGAGCCAACAATATGATGCAGTTGCAAAAAAGAGTAATATTCTGGTGTGTGTCATCATGGTTGTTGTGTCTAAGACAAGGATGGTAATTGTTTCTCTCTACTCAGCGCTGGTGAAGCCTCCGCTGAAGTGTTGTGTCCAGTTTTGGAAGGCACACTTTAGAAAAGATATGGACAAACTGGAGAGAGTCCACAGGAGAGCAACAAAAATGATCAGAGATTTAGAAAAACTGACATACGAGGAAAGGTGAAAAATACTAGATATGTTCAGTCTTGAAGAAAGATGACTGAGAGGGATACTGAAAAGTTTTCAATATATTAAAGAGGATGGTGATCAATTGTTCTCCGTGTCCACTGAAGGTAGGACAAAAGATAATCAACTTAGCCTGTAGCAAGGGAGATTTAGGTTAGATATTAGGAAAAACTTTAAGGATAGTTAAATGAAGGTTGTGGAATCCCCGTCACTGGAGGTTTTTAAGGACAGGTTAGATGAAAACTGCCTCAACAAAGAGGAATGGTCCTGCCTCAACACAGGGGGATGGAGCAGATAACTAATTGAGGTCCTTTCCACCCTTATGTTTCTATACTCAGCCCTGAAAGACAGGTGAGATCCTAATCTGCTTTCACTTCAATCTATGAGCAGCACTAATAGGTCATAAGAATAATTGTCCTTTTCAAGATCAAGAGATTAGTAACTCAAGGTGTCAGGTGACTTTCCTTAGGCTACACTATTTCCAGGTATAACCAGACCAATTCTTTTGATTTCCCAAAGGCATTCCCTTAGTTGGAATACTATGGTCCAGTTGTCAGATCCAGCTCTATAGCATGTAGTTCTAGTGGAGATCAAGTGTACTCATCTCATCCATAGACGTCTTACTCCTGAGGGCATTCTGCGCCAAAAAGTTAAAAATTCTGTGCACACTATTTTAAAATTCTGCAAATTCTATTTGTGAAAATAACACTACATAATCACACCAGTTTCAATTATTTTGGTAATTTATTTCAAAATACCCGTCAGCAAGTATGTCTGTAACAATATGGACAAACACAAAAATTCCCCCAGGAGTAGAGAGTTAAAGAAACCCCCTATGACAACCAAGTTTCTGTTTCTCTGTACCCTTCTCTCCCCCCAGAGCCCAGCTGGGGAGCCAGACACCCACAACCCCTCTCCCCCAGATCCCTGCCAAGGTGCCCCCCAGCCAATACAGCCAAACCGCCTCCCCCCCTTGCCCTGATACCTGCACCCCCTTTCCCCCCAAAGCCCAGGGATCCAGAGGGAGAAACAACCTGATGCTTGGTCCCAGGCTTGCACAGAGTTTCCTGCACGCTGCCGTCTAATTTCCCTCAGTGTGTGCTGGGAACTGCAACTGCCAAGAACCCTCTAGCTCTCTCCACCTGGCAGTGTCTTTTATGTGTGAGCTGGGCTCTGCCTGGTCCAGCGACCCCTAGTGGCGGCCGGCAGTACTGCGGCCCATTTCTGTGGGGGAAAGGAAATTTTGCGCGCACAATGTTAATTTCTGCAAAATTCTGCATTGCGCAGTGGCACGGAATTCCCCCAGGAGTAACGTCCCTGCCCCTAAAGATCACAGTATTTATAAACAGAAGCTTTGGATTCAGGCTGGGGCCCAAAGAGAATGGTATCAAGAGAAGTTTTGCCTGCCTAACTTTAAATTCTTCTTCATTACCTTACACAATGCAAGTGATAACATATGCTATTAAGTTTTAAAGAGTAGGAAAAGATCAAACACCACACCATAGCCATTTGGTGAAGTGTTCAAAGCCAAAGGACAACTTTCAGTTTCATGTTGTCCGGAAGTATAGAAAGAATATGCATTAGACAAGGTAACTATAGGTAGTTTTCCTTATTTTTCTGTATTCCTTACTATCAGCTTTTAGTACCGCCTGTGACGGGTTCGGTCACAGAGACCCCCTTGGGACTGTCACCTGATGTGCTGAAACGACCTCTGAGCCTGTTTTCTTTGTCAGCTTGGGACTCCAGAACCCTGTCTTTTTGAGCCAGACATGCTAGCCTGCTGCAACACAGACCCAGGGTCTGAACCATGCCCCCAAAGCTGCAAACTTAACTGAAAACAGCTCAGCAAGTACTCCTGTCTCTAGCACCCAGACACCCAGCTCCCATTGGGATCCAAACCCCAAATAAATCCACTTTACTATGTATAAAGCTTATACAGGGTAAAGTCATAAATTGTCCGCCCTCTATAACACTGACAGAGAGATATGCACAGCTG